GAGGGAAATATGTAAGATATGGGGGAAGAGGTTGAGGAGGGGCACGGGGGTGAATGGGAGGAGGGAGGGGAGGGAGATCCTGTCTTCGCCCCCCTTCGGCGCCACGCCCTCCGTTCGGTCTGATCTAGCGCGCCTGTGCCCCAGCTAGTTGTCCTTTTTTGTCAGCTGCCAGGAATGTCCACACGCGGCGTGATCCGATCCGGGTCACCGTCTTCAGCACCAGGGCCGGGCCAAGGGCCTTCTCTTCCCCCCGATCCCTCTGCCCTGAGTTTCCGTCCGCCCTTAAGTTGCCCTCGATCCATCTGCCCTCTCTTCACCTTGATCCTCGACGTCCTGCCCTCCCTGCCATCCCCGCCTGCCTCTGCCCATCTCTCCTCTCGCTCGGTGCTCCCCAGGCTCTTTCCTCTCTTTCTCTGTCTGTCAGTCTCTCTCTCTCCCTCTCTCTCTCTCTTTCTCTCCTTCTCTCTCTCTCTCTCTCTCACCATCTCTCTATCTCTCTCTCTCTGTCTCTCTCTCTCCCTCCCTCCTTCCCTCACGCTCTCCGTGTATATATATATATATATATATACACGTAGCACCCCGCAATTGCGGATAAGAGTGAGGGGGCGGGCGCGGGCGACGCGGGCGTCGTCGAGCCGGCGGACCTCGTGGCCCCCATCTTCCCTGTCGATGACGCTCTCCAACACCTCCTCCTCCTCTTCCTCGTCATCTTTGTCATCGTCATCCTCTTCCTCCACCTCGTCCTCCTCCTCCTCCTCTTCTTCCTCGTCCTCCCTCTCCCCCCCTCGTCTTTTCATCATGGTCTTCCCATTGTCGTCCTCCCCCTTCATCGGCCTCCATCATCGTCCTCCCACTGTCGTCATACATACAAGGCATATGAAACGGCAATCCATTCCAAGAACGAATTCCGCAACCCCTAACGGGGTGAAAGGAAGTGAGAAAAGGGCGAACGGCTCAGAGCCCGAAGGGCGGGTGGAGGGCTAGCAGCCCTGTCGAGACCCGCCACGGCTTCGAGAACCGAACCCCTTTGGGATATGGCAGCTTGCAACTGCGTAGCATTCTGAGCTGGGCAACCTTGTGGGTCGTACACGGACACAACAGGTGGTTCGCGCGACCAGTAGTGTACGACCCACAACGGTTGCAGAACAGGACAGCCGTGCCAGCAGCCTCCAGGCGTCCTGCCCACAGATCGTGGGCGGGCTCCACGGGGGCTGCTTGTGTGAGGACAGCTTGCAGGGAAGATGGCAGCGGGGTGCAGGGTCCGCGGCGAAATGTGTGTGGGTAGGCGGTCGCCCTCCCACAGTCAACACACGGCCATCTGTTGAGGGTCCACTTGAAACGATGACGGGTGGGACCTCTCGTGGATACTTTACGAGCCCTGGGGATCTTCTGGGGGTCTCCGAACACGTCCCTAGACTTTCCCCAGGGCTCGAGCATTAAAACGAAAGCTTGGAACACGTCGAGCCACTGCTTATAACCTGCCTCGACACGCTCCAAATCTTGAGGGTTTAACCGATTTGTAGCAATCTCTTTGGCGAGAACATCGGCCCAGTGGTTGCCCAGGACCCTCGTTCGCTCTTCCAACCCCCTGTCACCACGCAGAAGGGACTGGTGAGCACGTATCTTATGAACAGTCCAGCCTCTCATACCAGTGTTCATATACACTTGGCGCCAGTGTCCAGCTTGCTGTTTACGGCCGTCTCTCGAGCGGAGAGGGGTAGCAGCGCCATGCACAACAGCAGCACAATCTTGAATGACACGGGCTGGCTCTGCGTCGTGGTCAGTATGAAAATGCGCCGTCCCATGGAGCAGACCATGGTGCTCTGCCACGTTGGCGTTACAGGGGACGTAGGAGGGGAGGACGCCTCGGACGGCCCTGCGGAGGTCCCCATTGGGGGATGACTTCGACCGCACACCATCCTCCTCTGCTGAGGAGGGTGGTGGTGGGGTGAACCACAGACCCATCAATCGACACTTCGACCCCTGGGGTGTCCCAAACAAACTGATCAATAGGGCCCCCTCGGTCCAGGTATTCCACAACCTCGGTGTCGGGGGAGGGTGATCGATAATATGCACAGGGAGCCACAGGCAGTTGTAAAGCGGGTCCGAGGGGCCAGCCTCCAACGCCGCTTCAACGAGCTCAGCGTCCAAATTTTGGCGAAGAGTATCCCCGAACGGGCAGCTCCAAGCACGATGGGACGGGGTGTCGGGGGCTCCGCATTGTTGGCACTTGGGGGAAACTTGGTATCCCCTCCTATGAAGGAGGGTCCCCGTGCAGTAACATCCAGTGAACATTTGACGAAGGGTCTGCTTAGCAGCAGGCGTGTGCTTCGATGTGCTCCAGGCTCGCGAGACTGGATGGGTCCATAGCCCACGTTCTCGTATCTGCACAGCGCGGTCGGACTCCACGTCCTGCAGCTTGGTGCAGATGGTCCCATTGTCGTCCATCATCATCATCCTCCCCCTCCTCCCCCTTCTCGTCCTCCTCCTCCCCCCCCCCCCTCCTCGTCCTCCTGCTCCTCCTGCTCCTCCTCCTTTTCTTTATCCACGTTGTCCTTACATCCTCTTTTCTTCCGCGTTCTCCTCGTCCCTTGTTTACTCCTCCTGCCTCCCCCTCCTTTCCCAAGATAACTGCAGCGCAACCCGCTTTCCCTGATCAAGGCAACTCGCCAGGGCAAAGTTGCTGGACGGGCTGGTGTGGATGCGCGGGGCTTGAAGAGGTCCTTGCGGGCTCAGACGGCATGCAAAAATCCGCCACCGCGCTTGTGCAGCATTGGTGTGTTCAGCGAACGTGGTTTAGGTCGCGGGTGGGTCGCGGGCTCTCCACCTCCACTTGGAAGGAATGCAAAAGCAGCCCACCGCAAGCGCCACACACATTGGTTTGTGCACTGAACGAGGTTTGGGTCGTGGGTGGGCCGCGGGTTCTCCACCGGGAACGAATGCAAAAGATGCCCGCCGCAGGCGCCGAAAAATATGGTTTGTACACTGAACGTGGTCGCGGGTGGGCCGCGGGCCCTCCACCTGGAACGAATGCAAAAGATGCCCGCCGCAGGCGCCGAAACATGTGGTTTGTACCCTGAACGTGGTTTGGGTTGCGAGTTGGTCACGGGGTGGGTCGCGGGCTCTCCACCTGGAAGGAATGCAAAAAAACCCGCCGCAGGCGCCGAAAATGGTGGTTTGTACCTTGAACGTGGTTTGGGTCGAAGATGGGTCGCGGGTGTGCCGCGGGGTAGGTCGCGGGTGGGTCGCGGGTGGGTCGCGGGTGGGTGGCGGGTGGGTCGCGGGTGGGTCGCGGGGTGGGCCGCGGGTGGGTCGCGGGGTGGGTCGCGGGTGGGTCGCGGGGTGGGTCGCGGGGTGGGTCGCGGGGTGGGTCGCGGGGTGGGTCGCGGGTGGGTCGCGGGTGGGTCGCGGGGGGTCGCGGGGGTCGCGGGTGGGTCGCGGGGCGGGTTGCGGGTGGGACGACGACAACAAACAACAACAAACAACAACAACAACAACGAGAACCCGCACCGCGGAATTCCACTTCAGCCACGCACCCAGGGACAGTGAATGACCGTTCGGCCCCCTCACTCTGATATTTATATATATATATATATATACATATATATATATATATAGATCGACATATATATCTCTATCTGCCTCGCTCTCTCTCTGTCTTTGTCCGCCCCTAACTCGACTTATTTGAATGCATGGCCATTTGCGCCAATTGCTCTTTTTTTTCTCTCTCTGTCTCTCTCTCTCTCTCTCTCGATATATATATATATGGGAAGTTGTCTCTCTCGCTCTTTCTTGTTGTTTCGTCTGTCTCTTTATTTTCTCTCTCTCTCTCTCTCTCTCTCTCTCTCTTTCGTGGTATGTTCATGTACCCATATGCCTCGTCTATGTATCCCCCCCTGATCGTGGACGATATCCGAGGGGAGGAGGGGAGGATGACCTTTGGGTCTCAGTCTGCAGTGCGGCTCCCTGGGAGCCCGCGGGACAGCACCCGCCCCCCTATCTTCGTCCTCGTCCCTCGTCCTCCCCCCTCTCGTCGTCGTCGTCCTCCTCCTCCTCCTCCTCCTCCTCCTCCTCCATCTCGTCCTCGTCATCCACTCCTTCTTGGGGCCAGGACGAACACAACAAAATGCTCCGCATTCCCGTGTCCCCCCTCCTCCTCCCCCTCCCCCCTCCCCCTTCCCTTTCTTCCCCTCTTTCTCCTCCTCTTCCTCCGATCCACCATCCTTTTATGATTTTTACTTCGCTCCTTCTTGTCGCGCCCCGAGACGTGTTAATAGGGTGGGCCCGGCGTTTCGCTTGATATTTCTATTACATTTGTGATCATCTTGCTTGATATGTTGTGACAGTTTGACCGATGGAGAGCGATTCGTTTTCAAAATGTGGTTTTCGTGCCGCGCACATTCGGTCTAAAAGTTTGCAGGAATTTCGCGGATATAGTGCGGGCCGTTTTAAAAATGTATTTCTCGCCGTAGCGCCGCGTACATGCGTCTAAAAGGTTGCAATACATTCACAGATGGAGGGCGGTACCTTGTCAACATGTGGCTCTCGCATTACTACCGTGCGCATTCGTCTTAAGAGTTTACAGCAGTTTTAGTGATAATTATGGCTGACGTCCCAGGCACGGTATTTTGGCACGATGTAGGATTGCCAGGGCGCAGCAATGACGTTGATTCGCGTGTTGGAGTCCAAAGGATGGCGTTCTGGCACGATTCAGGGACGTCCGGACGCAAAAGTCATGTTGATTCGCGGCGTTGAAGACCCCAGGAAAAGTGTTCTGGCACAGATCAGGTTTTTCAGACGGTTATCTTCAGCGTGGCACGTCCGTCAGTGAAAATGAATTATTGGTGGGATTTGTGAAGAGGGAATTTGGAGAGAGGGTTTATTGCAACATCGTTGATGAGTCCTGTGTTTGCACTGGTTCGCCTCCTCCTCCTCCTCTCCTCCCATTTCCCGTTCCTCTCCCCGCCCTCCCCCTCCTCCCCCTCGCCCTCGCCCCCCAGGTGTTCCTTCGGAAGTTCGTCGAGGCTGGGGGGTGGGGCGACCGACCCTGCGCGCACCGGCCCGCGACTGGGCTCCGCCCTCGCTGCTGCTGGCGCCCTAGAGGGAATCCCTTCCTCCCCTCCTCCCTCCAGAAGGGTATTCTGTGGTCACTCGTCTTGTAGTCTGGTCATTTCGTGACCCCATTGGGAGTTCCACGTGAGACCCAACCATCCAGGTCTGCATGCCTGGTCCTAGCCATTTCGGTGGACACCGCATCGCAGCCCCATAGGGCGCTTCACCTCAGCCCCATAGGGCGCTCGCACTTCCATCTCTTCCTCCTCCGCCCATCCTCATCCAATTCACCCTCTCCCGTCATCTACCCCCCTTGCGGCACATCATCCCCCTCTCCCTCCTCTCTGAGGCACATCACCCCCCCCCTCCCTCCCAGGATGCGCTCGTCGGTGTTACCAGTCCGAGTGCCTTTCCTCCTCCTCCTCCGCAGCCATTTTGGCCCAAGCCATCCCTCTCTCGATCGCCCGCGGCTTTTTTCAATAAGTGGCCAGATGGCGTGCGCTCCCGCCTCGCGCCCCGCGGCGGCGGCGCTGGCTCTCTGCCTCGCGCTCGGGCTCCTCCGCGCCTTCGTGCCCGGGGCGGCGCGCGGCGCCGTGGCGCACCGGCCCGCCGCGGCGCAGGCGAGCGGTGCCCCGACGGGGATCGAGGGGCCGCCCCAGGATCGGGCCGGGCGAAAGGGGGGGATTGGGAAAGGCGGGGTTACGATATTTGCTGCATGCAGCTGGTTTCGGCCTCACCGAGGGGCCCAATTCCTAGATACATAGCCGCCTCCGGCGCCGGGAGGCGCTACGTGAGCTGATTCTCAAACCCCCCCTTTGCTATCCCCGACCCGACAGGAGTCTCCCCTGCTCGGCGCGGCCGCCCGCATCCTCGCCGGGGCCGCGGCCGCGGGCGTACTGGCGGGCGCCTGGGCGGGCGCCGCGCGTGCGGAGATCGAGGACGTGGCCATCCCGGTGGACGGCAAGGGCAAGACCAGGAACCTCAGCAAGGAGGAGCTCATCCGCGGCAAGCGCCTGTTCAACGTCGCGTGCGGCACGTGCCACGTTGGCGGTGGTACCCGCACCAATCAGAGCGTGGGCCTCGGCATCGAAGAGCTCTCCGGCGCGTTCCCGCCGCGCAACACCATCGACTCGCTGGTCGACTACATTAACGCCCCGACCACCTACGACGGCCTCAAGGACATCTCGGAGGTGCACCCGTCCATCATCGCGGCGGACTTGTGGCCCAAGATGCGTTCGATGAAGCAGCAGGACTTGTACGACATATCGGCTTACATCCTTTACCAGAATTACGTAATCCCTGAGAAGTGGGGCGGCGGCAAGCAGTACTACTGAGCTGCCTGGGAGGTTTTTTGTTACATCACTTAGCTCATGCTGGGTCTCGCTCGTCCTCCTCCTCCTCCTCCTCCCCCTCCTCCTCCTCCTCCTCCTCCTCCTCCTCCTCCTCCTCCTCCTCCTCCTCCTCCTCCTCCTCCTCCTCCTCCTCCTCCTCCTCCTCTCTCGCCCCATGCCCCGCCCTCAGGGCGCGGGAAGGCACGCGTCTGCATCCAACGCTGACCGAGATCCTCGGAGCCATGTCCCCCAAATCGACCGGAGTGGATACTCGAGGCTTGGGCTGGGCCATCGCGACGGGGCCACGGGGTCGTCAGAAGGGCGTCCCGTGGCTGCCATGCTGCCGTTTCGGAGCCGTCTTGGAGCCGTCTCCTTGGCATCGCTCGGACGTGTGCATTTTTCATTCGGCGAGGACCATCGAGGAGCCTCCTTGATCATTTGGCGAAAAAAACACGCACGAAACAGAAAATGCACAGGGAATGGACGTCCGAGCGATGCCCAGTCTCGGGGCGGGTCCCGCCGTCTCGGGGGCGGGGGTCCCTGCCCGTCTTGGGGCCTCTGGGGCGGCTGCTCGAGGCCGCATGCGGGGGGTACGTGCCAAGGGAAGAAAGTCCACCCCCGACCCCCATATAAGTGGCGTTTACGACGCAGCCCTGGGCGGTTACGAAACGGTCCTGCACTGCTCAATCCCTTCCCGAGGCGCGTTTCCCGACAAGGGCGTCGCTTGCCGGGGTGCGTGCCAGGGGGATGGTGATTCTGCCCTCTAATCTGGGGGGGGGCACCTCGGAGCCTCTGTTGCAGCGGCCGTCTCACGCGGGGCGTTCGGGAGTGGGCCTCGCCTGCTGCGCACCTCGCCTTCGGCGGAAGCCAGCGGAAGTACAACGGCGGCGGGTCCAGCGGCGGCGGCGGACGGCCCGCGGAAGGTGGCGGGGGCGGGCGCAGCAGGGAGACGTCAACATTTGTTGGATGCAGTGTTGCGGAGTCGGCCACGCAGCTCGGGCTTTTCGAGGACAGATCGATGCTTGGAAGAAGGGCGAGTCCGTCGGGGTCGTCGGTGGTCCCCTTCCGTTTCGCCTGGGGTCCTTTGCAGAGGTTCAACCGCACTTCTCTGCGCGGGGGCCAGGTATGGCCGGGGTTGGGGCGGGTGCGGAGGAGGTGGAGGATGAGGAGGGGGAACAAGGAGGAGCTGGGCTCCCAACCCTTCCAGCGTCGGCCCGCGAGAGGCCAGTCGACCTCCCAGTCCTGCGTTTTCCCTCGCCCCTGAGGGTTTACCGTTGCGGCCCGGCCTCCCGCAAGAGGAGGAGGAGGAAGAGGAGGAGGAGACGCAGAGTCATAATAGTTGCACCTCTCTCGGAAGGTTGTCGACAGGAGTACATGGAGCGGGGCCGACCACACCAGCAGGATGGCCAGGAGGCCCAGGAGGAGGAACGGGCAGAGGCCCCCCCCACCCACTACTCCCTGCGCGACGCCGTCGATGCGTGGCGCTACCCGGATTCACTCTTCACTGCCTGGCCTTTCCTCGCGTCCCGTGCCCCTCCTCCGCCCTCCCTCTCCCCCTCCATATCCTTCCTTCGCTCCCTCCATCCTCCCTCCTCCTCTCCTCTCCTCCTCCTCCTCCTCCTCCTCCTCCTCCTCCTCCATTCCTCCTCCTCCATTCCTCTCCTCCCTCCTCCTCCTCCTCCTCCTCCTCCTCCTCCTCCTCCTCTCCCCCTCCTCCTCCTCCTCCCCCTCCTCCTCCTCCTCCTCCTCCTCCTCCTCCTCCTCCTCCTCCTCCTCCTCCTCCTCCTCCTCCTCCTCCTCCTCCTCCTCCATTCCTCCTCCTGCTGCCCCCCCTCTCGCTTCCCCTTCCTCCTCCCCCCCCTTGGGGGGGGGGGGGAGGCGTCCGACCGTGCCCGGCCGCGGCGCCCCCCCCGCGCGCGCCGCGGCGCCCCCCGCGCACCGTCCGCGGCCAGGCCTTCGACTCGGGCCAGCTGGGCCGCGGCCCCGCCGGCGCAGGCCCGCGGGAGGGGGTCAGCCACGCGCAGGGGGGGTGGTAAAACGACGCGAAGATCGGGACAAAATCTGATCGGGGTAGCTCGAAATCTCTGAGAGTCGGCGGGTTTGGAGGATGTATTGGGCGCCGCGGCCGCTCCAGAGCGTTCCGGAACGCTCTGAGAGCGCTCCGGAACGCTCTGGAGCGATTTATCCCGATCCTAGCCCTGTTTTAGGTGGGGGGAGGGGGGAAGCAGCCTCCTGCTAAGAAGCAGCCTCCTGCTAAGAAGCCCCCCCCCCTCGCTCCACCCCCTTGTGCGCGCCGCCAAAGGGGGGGCCAACGGCACCGTAACGGGTACTCACCAGCGGGTACTTTACAGTTTTGCCGGAAGTTGCCGCTTTTAGGACCTCTTTCTGGCGCTGCAGCGTGGCCCACATCGGGAAGGGTTGGGTTCGCTGGGTCACTGGCCAAAGTGCCCGTTAGTGGAATCCCCGCTTGATGGGCGCCGAAGGGGGGGCAGGAGGAACGGAGGAGCCTTGCCCCCCGCTCTCGCCTCCGCACTGGCCGCGCTCTCTCGGACGAGAGAGCGCAAATATGTCAGGTGATGCATGCGGCTGACCATTGTGATTTTTGCGACCGTGCTCTCTCGTACAGTCGGGGCCCTGAAGAAGGAACCCGTTTGGTTGGGGAGGGGCTCCGCGTTCCTTAAGTGTTTCACAACTTGCCTCAGGTTTTCCTTATGTTTTCGATCGGAAATCGAAGTTTAACTTATGGAAAAAAGGGGCCTCGTTCCTTTTTGAGGGTTCCTTAAGGTCAACGCCCCGACTGTACGAGCAGAGCTCCACGAGATCTCGCGGGGCTCTCCTGGCAAGCGCTGCGTCGCCCGACCTCAGCTTCGGGCACCGCCCCCGCGGAGCCGCCCCCCCGCCGCACAACAGGTGGCTGTGGCAGGGGCAGGGCCCAGCAGCAGCGACAGTCACAGGCCCACCAAAGACTGTTCTAAGACGCTTCTATGGTTCCCACGACATGTTCTCAGAGCATTTCTGGCGGAGCCTGTCTTGTTTGAACACGTCAGGCTTATGTTCTAAGAACACGGTGTTTGTTATCTGACACTTTTTGGGGCTCTAAGAACAATTCGTGGAAGGACTATCGGAATGCCGGACGCTCGGTCCCTGCTCAAAGGGGGGGGGGGGGCAGGAGGAACGGAGGAACGGAGGAGCTGCCCCCCCCGCTCTCGCCTCCGCACTGGCCGCGCTCCCTCGCGGGGCTCTTCTGGCAAGCGCTGCGTCGCCCGACCGGCCTCGGGCACCGCTCCCGCTGTGCCGCCCCCGCCGTACAAGTGGCGGTCGCAGTGGCAGGTTCGGCAGCACAGTCCAGACGCTGAAGTAAGGGACAGCTTGGGTTCGGAAGGGGCTCGATGTTCCTCAGGTTCCTCCAGTGCTGTTCCTCCTGCCCTCCTGGGGCACGGAGGCGCTCACAGGGCCAAGAAGGGCTTCGTTCCTCATTTCGCGTTCCTTCTTTCGGCGGCCCGACTGTAGCAGCAGGCACAGCAGCAGCAGCAGGAGCTGTGGACGATCTGGGCCCTGCCCTGGGTGCGAGCGCAGGCGGGGCCCAGAGGGCCCTCGCCGAGGAAGCAGACAGAAAAACAGTTGACTGATGTGTGTGTGTCTGTGTCAGAATTGGGCGCGGGGATGAGCAGCGCCACGTCGGCAGAACGCACGGCCCGCGCCTGGGTGCAGTTCGGTAGTGCGAACATGTGCGCCGCGGTGTTCTTGGTCTGTCGCCGACCGACGTGTGGGCCAGGTCAGCATTGGTTTATGTTTCCTGCCGTTGTCCAGCGCAAAGCAGTGGGCGCAGTCGATGCGTGAGTCGTCCAAGCTCGTCCGTGTGGCGCCCAGTGTCGTTCGCAGCTCGGCCGACTTCAGTCCTTGGCTAGTGCGGTGAGCTCGTGCCGCCAGCTTGCCTAAGAACTTTGCTGCCGCCCTCTCAGCTCTTGCCCAGCAGCGGGCGGAGCAGTTGGCTCGAGACTGCGCCCGCCGCGCGTCCGATAACCGTTGAATTTGGTTGCTGACACAACTCGAAGTAGCAGGTGCTGGGGCCTTTCGTGCAACATCGAAGCTCCCCACAGGTTTCAGAGTTTTAGTCAGCTGGCAAAGTTTACGACGGCCGATCTGTCAGGCGATATGGGGCTGCTCGTTGCCGAGTGGGAGCGTGGGTGGAAGGTTGGTGAGGCCCGTCAGGAGATGCAGTAGCCCGAGGAATTAGGAGCTGGGCCGTGCAGACCCAGTGCCGATGTGCTGCGCAAGGTTACTTTAGACCTTATAAGCGCGTGCTGTCTGCGCCTTTGACAGCACCACGCCGCGCCAGCGGCTTTTGCTGGACGGCAGCGGGCTCGAGGCGTTGATTGACTTAGTCATGATGTGCGAGGCCGACGCCGAATGGCCAGCTACCACCAGTCATTTGAGCCGTCTCCAGAAGAGGCCTGTCGGCCTCTGCCCCATTGCACTCATTGCCCTAGTTGCGCGTGTGCGATGCGGGCTCAGACGTTCGATCCTTGTCGCTTGTGACGGGGAACGCGGCCGTGCTTTCTCGTGAGCGAGCAAGGGAACACGTTGCAACTCTGCAGTCTGGCATCAAACTATGTTGAGCGAATGGGCGTCCGTCCAAGGAACCAGGCACCAAGCCCCAGAGGCCTGGGCCTCCGCGTGATTTTTGATGTGCCTAAATTATTTGACATGGTTCGGCACGACGTTTTTAGATCCTGCGATGTTTGGCGGAATCCCGCCCCCCTCCTGGCAATTCAAGCTGTGCGTTCTATTGCATCGGATTGCGAGGCATCTGTCGTTGCATCACGTTTGGTTTGGCTCCGTCACCACGCTGGTCCGCCACATTTTGCTGAGGTCTCTAGCTCCAATGTTCCGCATGTTCAACGCTGTTCAAGCTTCAGCCATCGTGCGTGACATCGTCCTGCAGAGGCAAGGGCAAAGCAAACCAGTGCGCGATGACATGGTGACGGCTGCCTTTGTCTTTTGCTGCCAAGAAGACTGCTGGCTTGTTCAAACTCTCCGACGTTGGAGTTCGCATCCTCGCTATGGGACGCTGGCGCGTGGGAGGAGCGGCCAGGAAGGCAGAACGCGGTTCTCAGGTGCCGGTGTCTCTGCAGGCGGGCGCGTCTACACCCAGGTGCGCGGCGCCAGGCCGGCCAGCACCGTGGGCGAGAACGCCCAGGGTGCGACAGTTTTCGATGCTAAGAAGGTGCACCCGCAAGCCACTCGCAGGCTGGCGCAGACGGGGCTCAGAGCGTCGTTCTCGCGCGGTGCCCGACTGCAATTGGGGTGACCGCCCAGAGGCTGTCTTCTGCGCGCACCGCCGTTTTTCGAGCCTGTGAGCCTCACGGCAGGCGATTCTCGCACGCTCAGCTCGACGTTGCGGGGCCGAGGTCCACTGGACTTCAAGTTCAGGGCCTCCACGGCCCCCTGTCGCAGCTTTGGTCTCGGCCCCACGGCAGCGCTGGCTCCCCCTCGCGTCCTTGCCTCAGCCTGCACGTGGGCCCGGGTCGACGTGAGAGCCTGGGCCGACGTTCGATGGTCCAGCTGGAGCTCTCGGTTCTGCATGTGCCCGTGTGGGCCGGACACTGTAAGATAAGTTCTCTTTGGAGGTCGCAGCTTGGCGACCTTATGAATGCTGCGGGATCCTGCCCGCGCAATGTCTGCAAGGTTGTGGACTCTGCGATTGGATTGGCCGTGGTTTCAGTTTGCGGGGAGTCGAAGGTCTCGAGCATCTGCGTGGCGGATGCAATTGACAACTCCTGCGACGCGACAGCCATAGAGGCAGACCACCTAGAGCCCTGGTCGACGCGCACACCACGCTCCAGTTCCTGGAGAGAGCCGACCTCAGGAGCGTGATCGTCGACGGGCAGTGTTCCATTGCTCGCAAGCTCGCCGCCCCCAGTGCCACCAGCGCGGTCCGCCTCAAGTGCGGTGGCCATGGCGCGCTTTGGTATCGTAGTAGTAGTAGTAGTAGTAGTAGTAGTAGTAGTAGTAGTAGTAGTAGTAGTAGTAGTAGTAGTAGTAGTACAGTAGTAGTACAGTAGTAGTAGTGGTAGTAGTAGTGGTAGCAATAGTAGTAGTAGGAGTAGTAGTAGTAGTAGTAGTAGTAGTCGTAGTAGTAGTCGTAGTAGTAATAGTAGTAGTAGTAGTAGTAGTAGTAGTAGTAGTAGTAGTAGTAGTAGTAGTGGTAGTAGGTCGTTTGCTTTGCCAGGCTTCCTGACCCTCCCCCGTGATCCCGTCCGCCGTTGCCGCGCCTGCTCCTCGCGAGGAAGGTGCCCGAGGCTCGTGTGCTCGTGGAGCGCCTGCTGCGGCCTGCCTCACAATGTGTACACTGTATACAAGACTCGCGCTCTCGCGTGGCATTCCTTCGCAATATATTCGAACGCCGCGCGCTCGACACTCAGGAAACACGATCTCGTTCAGGCCTTCCTCAACGATTCATTTGGGAATCGCGCTTTCGTCGACACTTGCGCGCCATTCATGCAGGACGCACGCTTCAGCAACCCGCCTGCCCAGTGTCCCTTCCTTCCAACCGCCCTCTCTTCCCCTGCCTCAGGGGCCGCGCGACCTACACGTTGCAGGTAAGAAAGATAGACCTCCAAGGAGTACTTTCGACGACGCAGAAGGCAGGTATCGAGGGTTTGGGATACACGTGTTGAAAGGCACGCTAACAGGCAAGAACGATCAGTCTCAAAATGATTGTTATTGTTGATGTAATCGTTGCTACAGTTTCTGGTACGAGCCCCGGGGGGGACAGTCAAATTGAAAGGCGCATTTCAGCACGTATAGCCCAAACCCCCGGTACCGGCCCCTTTCGTCTTCGATCGTTCTCTATTGGATTACATTTTTTGTACCTGCCACGTGGAATTGGTGCAGCCCCTGAAACAGGGGAATCAATGGAGGATTGAAGAGGGAGAGGATAACATGGAGCACGAGAAAGATTTGCAGGAGGGAGGCTATGAACAGGAGTCCCACGCGAGAGCGCGTTTCCTACATTCATCATAAGGAAGTCAACGCGAGAGCGTGATTTTGGAATACATCGTGTGGAAATATCAAGCGGGAGCCGTTGTTGCTGTTGTTGTTGTTGCTGCACGCCCGGGGCCAACAACACAGTTTGGTGACACCACATTTTCCCTAAGAAGAAACAGGGTGCCAGCCCGAGTAGGAGCATTTCAATAGAAAAACGCAATGTTCACCGGAGGGAGGAGCAGCAATACTCATTGCTAGAGATGGGAACCCAACAGCAACACTCGCAACAACAACAACGTCATCAACACCAACACCATCATCAACAACAATAACAACAACATCACCAACAACAGTCGCAACAACGACAACACTAACAGCAACACCAACAATCATTCTGAAATAGTAAGATCTTACCTGCCCGCGTGCAATCCAATACGTATATCCCCAGCCCTCCATACCCCGCCCTGTTCATTTTCGTTCGTACCTCTTTGGGAGTATACTTTCCTTACCTGCCGCGTGTAAGTGACGCAGCCCTTGAAGCAAGGGAAGAGAAGACGGATGGAAGGTGGAGGGAGGGGAACACGGGAGAGATCAGCAGGAGGCAGGCTAGGAACAGAAAACACGTGGCAGAACCAGACAAGCTGATCGGGCGGTTAGACCCTAGCGGGTGGATCGGGAAAGCAGGCCCAGGCGGCCGTGTCGAGCAGACGGGTTGTTGAAGCGTGCGTCTTGGATGATTCTCGAGGAAGTGTCGAGCGATAGCTCGATTCCTAAGTAAATCGTGAGAAATGCCAGAGCGGGAGCGTGATTCCTGGGGCATGGATGAATAAGTTGGAGGAAGTCCTACGCGAGAGAGCGAGTCCTGCATATATCGTGAGGACGTCCTGCGCGAGAGCGCGATTTAATAATTACACGGTCAGGAATTATTAAGCGGGAGCCGCTGTTGCTGTAAGCCAGGCCCCAGGAACACAATCTGAGGCCCAAGGTGTTCCGCTGTAGAAACAAGGTGCCAGCCCTGGGAGGAGCACTTCACCTGGAAAGCGCAATGGACACTGACGGGCAGGGGGATGAACATTACTTGTTCTTTAGAAGTTAGAGTTCAACAATACACAAACGATTCAGTGCACGCATTTGATAAGGATAGCAATTAGGCGCAAACGCATAATAAACGTGTTGTACGCATATCTGTGTGCTTTTGTCGGATTTTCCTGATCTTTCTCACAGTACAAGCCAAGAGAGGAACGAATGATTGTCAACGCCACGTAAGGCGTAGCCTGATTGATGTACCTCCCGTTTCTTCTCGTCTCTCTGGCTGCTTCTCTTATCTGTTTCATGGACTCGTTTGTCACTTCAGAGCTTGGGCGCGAAACCGACACCCTCAGGCGAGGGATGAACCAGCGCTCTGCTTGACACGCTACAGATTTCGACTTCAGCTGCACTTGCTCCGAGACTGTGTCCTTCTGCTGCTGAGGGCCCCAGAGTTCCGAGGGGGCAGCCCAGCGGCTCTCGGGGCCACGGGGCCGCTGGCCGGGCCCGCGAGGCAAGGGCGGCAAGCCCAGCGGCGGCTCGTCGTGGAGCGAGTGGGACGGCGGCGGAGCCGGAGGCGGCAGCCGGCCGCCCCCCCCGCGCGCCGCGGGGAGCGAGGCCGCTCGGCAATGAGGCAGGCCCCGGCCCCGGTCACAGTGAGGTCGCGGCCTAGCTTAAAACGACGCGAAGATCGGGACAACATCGGATCGGGATAACTCGAAATCTCTGAGAATCGGCGGGTTTGGAGGATGTATTGGGCGCCGCGGCCGCTCCAGAGCGTTCCGGAACGCTCTGAGAGCGCTCCGGAACGCTCTGGAGCGATTTATCCCGATCCTAGCCCTGTTTTATAGCTCGAGTCAGCAGTTTTGGGGGGATATCCCTGAGCATGCGGGTGGTTTCGTCTGGCACATCTGCAGAGAGACGCCAGATCCCTGATGCTGTTGGGTCCTCCTAAGTTGGGTCCCCTCCCAAAGGATTAGTAGGGGGACTGATTATTGCTTGTCGTAGGAGGAGGAGGAGGAGGAGGAGGAGGAGGAGGAGCATCCAAGCTAGAGCAATAAGGGATAGCACAAATGAGGGGGCAGGAGCAGGCGCAGTGTGTGGTGATGTTTGTTTGGGTGGGCGCCTTAGTTGCGCGTGGATGCACTCGTGTATTCTCTCAAGCGCAAGATGTTGCGTCCGATGCTCGCGCCCCCTAGCAATAGCTTGCGAAAGAGTTTGCTCCAGTCTGGCAAGGAGCGGGGCGGTGACCAGGGTAAGGAGCGGGGCTGTGAGGAGGAGGAGGAGGAGGGGATCATTCCGAGAAGAAAGAACGACATAAGCAAAATCTGTGGGCGGTTCGCACAGATCTCTTGGATCGGCGCTGGAGCCCCCTGGCGGCGCCTCCGCGCGCTATGCGCGCCAGGAAGGGCAAACCCAGCGCAGATCCAGGAAATCCGCGCGGATCTCCGGAGGTTTGTGTTTATGCCATCATCTGCATTCCGAGGTCAAATCTTTTTGCTTGCAGCGCAGCGCGGCTGGCTGCCCGGGCAGCGCGAGCCGTACGTTGTGGTCGTTGTCGGGGGCGTCGTCGAGGCCGTCGTCGGAGTTGGGAAGGGGAGGATGCAACAAATGCTGAGTCAGATGAGGAGGGACGGGGGAGGCCGCCCCCCCCCCGCGCTTTGATCGGGTCGCCTGTCGTTCGGGGTTTGCCTCGGCGATTGGTTTCGATTCCCTCTTCTGACGCTCCTCGTCCTCCCTCTGCCCCTCACCTCTTTATTTGCCTCTTTGTCCGTGTATGAGTGCGCCATGGAGCCAGATAACTTGACAACAGCTCGCGAGCAGCCCCTGATTCTTGGGGTAGCAGTTCCTGCCGCAAGGACGTCCTTGCTGGCTCAAAGATGGTCCCCTGCACTTCTGGTGGTCGGATATCTCTTCATCGTGGCATGGGCTGTGTGCCGAAATGCAGCTAGGCCAGGTGCTGGCCTTGCCTTCCCCCTCCGGCCGGAACCAGGCTGGTGGGGCTGCGAGTCGTCCGAGTGGGACGGCAGCGGCAGCGATTATTCATCGTGGAGTGGCAAAGGCGCGAGGAGGGGGAGGGGATGGAGAGGGGGAAGGGGGAGGGGGAGGGGGGGAGAGGAGGGCGAGGGGGAGAGGGAAGAGGAACGGGAGAGGAGGGAGTGTCGTTCAGATTTGTCAGTGCCAGCGACAACCAGGGATGCGATGCGTTCCTTGCAGAGTGTTCGCCGAGCCGCGTCCTGCCTGAACCCTCCCCAGGGGGCAGCGGTTTGAGCCCTGGGGCCCTCTGCTGAGCGGAGCCCCGCACGCCCCCTTGCGCAGGGCCTTCCGCCTCCGTTTCCTGGCCGCGGCCTACCTGACTGCCTCCGTTTCCGGTCCGGGGGGATTTAGATCAAATGCCAAGCCGCGGCCTACCTGACTCCCTTGCGCAGGGCCTTCCGCCTCCGTTTCCGGTCCGGGGGGATTTAGATCAAATGCCCACCATGACTGACCTCCGGCTTGTCACCCAGATCTCATCTCTATTTCTCTCTGTCTCTCTCCTTCTCATTCGCTGTGTGTCTCTCTCTCTCTCTCGTTCTTTCTCTTTCTCTTTTTTTCTCTTTTTTTTCTTCTCTCTCTCTCTCTCTCTCCCTCTCCCGGGCGGAGGGGCGCCGTGGGGCGGCTTCCGAAAGGCAAGGGCGCCGAACGCTTGAGCCTTGCTGTCTGCCGCGATCGCGCCCAGGCGCCGACAGAAATGAATTGATGGATTGGGTTGGGTGGATTGGATTGGATGGGATAAGATGGATTGGGTAAGATAAGATGGGTTGGATTGGAAGAGATGGATTGGATAAGATACTATGGATTGGATTGGCCCGCTGAAGGCGCAGAAACAAATGAATTGATGTATTGGGTTGGATGGGTTGGCTTGGGTGGGATAAGAACAGATGGGACAATATGGGTTGAATAGGATAAGATGCATGGGGTTGGACAGGATGGATTGGAGAAGATAAGCTGGATTGGATAGTCAAACCCGCCGCAGGCGCCGACAAAAATGAATTGATGGATTGGGTTGGGTGGATTGAATTAGATGGGATAAGATTGATTGGATAAGATAAGATGGTTTGATTGGAAAAGATGGATTGGATGAGATAGTATGGATTGGATTGACCCGCCGCAGGCGCAGAAACACATGAATTGATGGATTGGGTTAGGTGGATTGGATTGGGTGGGATAAGAAAAGATGGGACAATATGGGTTGGACAAGATACGATGGATTGGATTGGACAAGATGGATTGGAGAAGATAAACTGGATTGGATAAGAAAGCCCGCCGCAGGCGCCGAAACAATACATTCTGAAATTAGCTGCATGCGTTAGCGCCGGGACGCCCGGGACACCCGGGACACCCGCGACACCGCCCGGCCCAATTGGGACACCTCCCGGCCACCAGCGGACGGGAAAGGGATTTTCGCCTTATACTGACACCCGGGACACCCGGGACACCGCCCGGCCAAATTCGGGCACCTCCCAACCACCGGCGGACGGGAACGGACTTTCGCTCCTACTTCGGCTTAGCTACAGGAGGATCACGCGCAGCTTCGCCTCCCCCGCACGCACGACACGAGCGCGAAACCGAAATCGATTTCCCGGTGGGGGGTCTCCGATTCACTGCGATCTCACCCCCCAGCATCCGATACAACCAAAACGCGACGCCGACAAAGTCCCAGCCGCCACCGCCACAGGGACCACCACCAGGCAGCACCCCAATAGAAACCACAACGACATCGCCGATTCCTCGGTGCTTCCGCAACCCAGTCGCTCCGCAGAGGTACAAACTAGTCGACATCCTGCCTCGCGGCCCCGGCCGCGCTGCAAGCTGCCGCCACGATGGCAGGCCGTCGCCGACGTAAACAGGGGCCTCGCTTACTACCACAACACGCACACACGCGCCACCCAATGGAAATTCCCAGGCGACGTCGATTACGACCCATGCTGCACTCGACAGCTAACGGACCAGAACGTCGACGCCTTCAGCATCAACATGGACGGCTGCTTCGACCACGGCCTCAGGCCGATATTCCCCCCCCAACGACCACCCCCGAATGCCGGGGCACCCTTTGAAACGAGAGCCGGCCGACAAAGCAATGGCGCAGACCATCCACGACCTACATGGCAATTTGAGGACCCAGTACCAGCAGGAACAATAAGTGCACGAACGGGTCGACCGAACACATCTGTGGCACAGCGACATCGCAGGCGGCACCTTCTTTTTCCATCTCAAGGTCGACGCGGAATCCAGGCCGCCCCTCACCTTCGGCACCGACATTCTAGTTGTCGCACCCAGACTAGAGGGATACCTACATCCTCCACGAGTCAGCCACATCACCCTCCGCACCAAGCAGCTACGCAGCCCAGACCAATACTTGCACCATGCGACGACCGCAGCAATTTTGACCGCGAGAAGCACATCAAAAGACCACCGACTCGAGACGCGAGTACACACGAAACCACCATGCACAGGAACGAATGCACGACAATGACTGAGGACAACAACATGGCGCACCGACCCAAGGACGAACCACCCACAAACAATGCAGGCGCATCTGCCAGCACAACCCCGTCAAACATAACACCAGTACCGACCCCCAAGCAGCAGCGACGACCAATCCAGCATAGCGGCTCGACCCCAGCAGCGAAGCCTCCGATATCCAAGGCTTCGCCCACCCGACCGCCAGCATGAGAAGAAGAAGCAGCGCAACCTACGCGCGTGATCGACGGCGAGGTCAAGACCAGACAGCACGATGTTGACACGCAAGAGCAGCGCGCAACCATCAAGGAACCTTGCTGCACCAACCCGACGTCCAACAACAGCATAACAGCACCAAGCGCCAACCAACCACCTGCCGCAGAAGTCGTGCCACAGAGGCCCAATGGCTGGTTCCCCATCGCCACGATCACGCACGAGAAGGTCAACCCCGACGCAATCAACTTCCCCATGGAGGCATCCATGCGCCGCTCGTTCCACGCCAAGTTGCAGGACTCTCTCGACCACGGCACAACCGCAGTGGACGAGGGGGACGAGGTCACAATCATCAGCATGTCTTATAACAGCAATAGCGACCTATGGCCACGCGGCACCATCACCCAGACCAACGCCATACGGAACACCGAGCAGTCTCTGATATCAGACATCATCACCGAGAACCAGGCCCAACACAAAGGCATCCAGGAGAAGCTCAACATCCTGATTACACTGGTCGGCAAACAACTTGTCAGCTACAACCAGGCCCTCTACATGAGATCGCCCTGGCCAAGGAACCCATATCCAAGCTCATCGACAGCCTCAAGGACTCCATTCACAGACTACGCGCATGAACCTTGGCGATCCCCATCCTCGCCACAACTACCAAGCACTGGGCGACCGCACGGGGTGCCCACGCACCCGACGTCGTCAGAGCCCACGAAAACGGCTTCCCGACCGACTCACGCTCCAACCACTCTCCATGAACTGCAACCGTTAGAACGTCATCTCCCTCGTCATCAGCAACCTCCTTGTCCTGATGCGCGACCACCTCTTCTTGAATTGCATCTTCCTCATCGTCAGCAACTACATCCTCGTCCTGAAATACTTCCACCTCTCCAACTACATCCTTGTCCTGAAATACTTCCACCTCTGAGGGGAGAGGGGGGGAAAGGAGAGATGTGCTTGGTTAGGTTTTGAGGAGGTTGGGTTGGCAGGAGGGGGTGTTGGGCGGGAATGGGGCAGGAGGGCGCACATCCGTCAAACCGCAGACCCCTCTCCTCGTTTCTTCCCCTCCGTCGGCATTTGCCCGCCGTTCGTGGCCCCTTCTTCGACCTCCCCTTTCGGGCCCCCGTCCATTCCTCCCCCTCCGTACCTCGTCGGCCTCGCCAACGGGCGGCTCGGCCCATTTTCGGAATGGCCCCCTCCTGCGGTGCCATACGGCACCCGCATGGGTGGGCCAATGCCTGCACCTACCGACAAGGATCAACAGCCGTGAGTCAGTCAGTCAGGAGGAGTTGGAGGAGTTGGAGGAGGAGGAGGAGGAGGAGGAGGAGGAGAAGGAGGAGGAGGAGGAGAAGGAGGAGGAGGAGGAGGAGGAGGGGGAAGAGGAGTTGTAGGAGGAGGAGGAGGAGGAGGAGGCGGAGGAGGAGGCGGAGGAGGAGGAGTCTAACATCACTCCTCCTGCCCCTCCTTCTATACCCCCCTGGCGCTTAGAAAGCCCCTTACCATTGATTTTTGTTTGGTTACAGTACAGCTTTAATTGGTTTCGGAATTATTTCTGTAGTGCGCGCTGTATGCAATTACATCAATAATTGTGTCGGGAATTAATAATGTAGGCTCGAAATATTGCCAAGAGCATTTTGGTTATGCATTTCTATTGAGTTGGGAAGTTAGAAAGGAATTCGATAAGGAATTTCCTGAGTTAGAAAGGAATTTGAATACCAGAGGTAATTCTGAACCGCAAAGAAGAATCGAGTCCGAATTGCCCGAGGAAGCCAGGGCCAGGAAGGGAAAAAGGAGTTAGAACGGAATTCGATAAGGAAATTCAAGAGTTAGAAAGGATTTTTTTTACGACGCCGAGAGGTCTGAGCCAGGAAGGAAAAACGAGTTAGAAAGGAATTTGATAAGGAAATTCAAGAGTTAGCAAGCAAGGAATTTCGTTTTGGGTTTTTTTTGTTTTGCTTTTTTAAGACGCCTAGAGGTCTGGGCCAGGAAGGAAAATGAGTTAGAAAGGGATTTAACCAGGAATTTCAAGAGTTAGAAAGGAATTTCGTTTTTTGGGGTTGTTTGTAGTTTCGTTTTTTTTATATTTTTTTTTTACGACGCCGAGCGGTTTGGGCCAGGACGGAAAACGGAGTTAGAAAGGAATTTAATTAGGAATTTCCAGGGTTAGAAAGGAATTATGTTTTTTTTCTGTGTTTTTTTTTGTTTTGTTTTTTATTTACGACGCCGAGAGGTCTGGGCCAGGAAGGAAAAAGGAGTTAGAAAGGAATTCAATAAGGAATTTCAAGAGTTAGAAAGGATTTTTTTTTTTGGGGGGTGTTTTTTTGTTATGTTTTTTTTTTTTACGGCGCCGAGAGGTCTGGGCCAGGAAGGAAAAAAGGAGTTGGAAAGGAATTTAATAAGGAATTTCAAAGGTTAGAAAGGAATTTCGTTTTTTGGGGGTCTGTTTTTTTGTTTTGTTTTTTTTACGACGCCGAGAGGTCTGGGCCAGGAAGGAAAAGGGAGTTAGAACGGAATTTAATAAGGAATTTCAAGAGTTAGAAAGGAATTTTGTTTTTTTGGTTGTTTTTTTTTCGGGGGTCTGTTTTTTTTACGACATCGAGAGGTCTGGGCCAGGAAGGAAAAAGGGAGTTAGAAAGGAAATCCTTAATAAATTCCCATTATTAAATTCCTTATTCCATTCCTTTATAATTCCTTTTCCTTCCTGGCCCAGACCTCTCGGCGTCGTAAAAAACAAAACAAAAAAACACCACCAAAAACGAAATTCCTTTCTAACTCTTGAAATTCCTTTATTAAATTCCTTTCTAACTCCTTTTTTCCTGCCTGGCCGAAACCTCTCGGCGTTGTAAAAAATGAAACAAAAAACAACCCCAAACAAACAAAATGTCTTTCTAACTCTTGAAATTCCTTGATAAATTCCTTTCTAACTCCTTTTTTCCTTCCTGGCCCTGACCTCTCGGTGTCGTAAAAACAAAACAAAAAAACAGCCACCAAAAATGAATTTCTTTCTAACTCTTGAAATTCCTTATTAAATTCCTTTCTAACTCCTTTTTCCTTCCTGGCCCAGACCTCTCGGTGTCGTTTTTAAAAAACAAAACAAAAATAATCAAAAAAACGAAATTCCTTTCTAACTCTTGATATTCCTTATTAAATTCCTTTCTAACTCCTTTTTCTTTCCTGGCCCAGACCTCTCGGCGTGGTAAAAAAAAATCCAAAAAACGAAATTCCTTTCTAACTCTTGAAATTCCTTACTAAATTCCTTTCTAACTCCTTTTTCCTTCCTGGCCCAGACCTCTCGGCGTCGTAAAAAACAAAACAAAAAACCACCACCAACAACGAAATTCCTTTCTAACTCTTGAAAATCCTTATTAAATACATTTCTAACTCCTTTTTCCTTCCTGGCCCAGACCTCCCGGCGTCGTTTCTTTCTTGTTTAAAAACAACACCCAAAACGAAATTCCCTTCTAACTCTGGAAATTCCTTATCAATTTCCTTTCTAACTCCTTTTTTTCCTTCCTGGCCCAGACATCTCGGCGTCGTTAAACAAAAAACAAAAAAAAGACCCCAACAACGAAATTCCTTTCTAACTCTTGAAATTCCTTATCAAATTCCTTTCTAACTCCTTTTTCTTCCCCGGCCCAGACCTCCTGGCGTCGTAAAAAAACAAATTTAACGCAAAAGAACTGAATGAGGAGGAGGAGGAGGATGAGGAGGAGGAGGAGGAGGAGGAGGAGGAGGAGGAGGAGGAGTAGGAAGCGGGCGAACAAGCAGGGGGAGGGAGGCAGGGAGCGAGGGAGGGAGCAGCGGGAGAAGCAACAATGGGAGAGGAGGCGCCCCCCTCCCGCGGCGCCCTCTCGCCTCCACGCCCGGCGGCGGCGGCCGCCAAACCCCCCGAGGAGCCGGCGCGTCGAGCGGCGGCGACTCCACCGGCGAGGACTCCTGGGCTTCCGCGCCGCCGATGGCGGGGGGGGTGTCAAGCAGTGGCGAGGCGTCCTGGCTCGCCGATAGCCCCACCAAGCGGGGGTGGACAGCACCCCCAACAGTGGCACGTCGATTAGTGAGTTGTCCGTTTTCGGTTCTCGAGAGGGCGCCGTGGCCGTTATTTTCCAGGCTTGCGCCCGCCAGGTTTGGGCCTCAGGTCGTTTTCACTAAACCACGTTTTACTAAAGGGGGGTCTGTCCATCCCCGAACCAAGCAATGTTCTAAGAACCTTTTGTGGTTCCCACGGGGTGTTCTTAGAACGTTTCTAGCTGGGACTGTCTTGGGTTAAGAAATCGGGTGTATGTTCTAGGAACCTTGTTTTTGTTCTGAGAGCATTTTCGGGTTCTAAGAACATTTCGTGGTAGGACCATAGGAATGCCGGGACGGTCGGTCCCTGGTCAAGGGGGGGGGCGTGCGGACGTGACCAGGACGATGAGAAATCCGTTCCAGAGCGTTCCGGAACGCTCCGAGAAGGCCGCGGCGCCCGAGACATGCTGCAGAGCCGCCAGGTCTCGGATACGTCTCGATTCATCCACACCCGAATGTCTGCACGCCCTGGCTTCGTCTTAGGGGGAGCTCGTCCTGCTGCCTGGGGAGGGGTCAGGGGCAACGTTGGAGGGGGATACAGGCTCAGGGGGGGCTGCATCGACCCGGTCATCGGGCATTTTCGACGGTGCCTTGCGGTTTTCCAGCTTCGGGTTGCGTTCCTGCAGCTGGGCCTCGCCGCGGGCGTTCCAGGGTGCCTGGATTGTCCCGAACGGCCGCCGCAGAGCCGAGCTATGACCCGAAAGCCAAAAGGGCAACGCTAGGGAGGGGCAGGCTCAGAAGGGAGCCCCCAATCGCCCATTCATCGCCGATCGGGCCCTGATATCCCACCCCGCCCAAGACCGCGCGGAATCGCTATCGACGATCGATCGGCGATCGATCGGCGACGTACTGCCGATCCCAGGTCGATGTACCTCCCGCATTGCTGGTCCCTCCTTATCTGTCGTTGTCCCGCAAGGGAAGGGTGGAGGGGGGCGTCGGTCTGCAGCCCACCAGCCGATCAGCCCACCATTAGATCAGCCCACCCAGCGACCGCTGCCTGCGGAGGGCCTTCAGTGCGCCGCGGGAGGCGGCGCTGAGCGCCTGGCAAAGGCTGGCGATTGGAAGACTCCGACCCGTATGAACTCTCGGCAGAAAGGTGCTGTTCAGCATTCTTGCACTCCAGAGAGCCAGAACGACGGCGCGCATGAAAGGTTGCCAAACAGGGTGTTGTGCAGAAAGTCATGTTGTATGAGATCAATGCATGAATGCGTACATCCATGTACATATGTACCAGCACACGCGGATATGTTTATATATATACAGGTCACACCCGAAAAAAGCAAACTCAACTTCGTGGGACCCAAAATAACAGGGCAGAGCCTCCCTCTGTGAGGGAACCTGCGCAGCTATTTGCTAGCACGATCGGACTGTGAGCTTCACCAAAGGGGGAAGAGGGAGGCGAGATGCCTGATCCTCCCATCCGCGTGAACGGCCGAATGTGAGGACGAAAGGAGCCGGCACCTACCCCCAGGCCTATCCTTGGCAGCGAGGGTTGCCTCATGAATTGTAGCCCTGAAGGGCATGCTGAAACCGTAGCAGAGAACGTTTGGTTCCAGTTATCTCCCCCACAGGCTGTAGCTGATAGCATTGGCTGCAGCTTCGCCCTCTTCCACCCTGGTCCTCTCGTAGGGGGGTCACGGGGCGGGCCTGGCCCTGCTTCGCCCGCCTCCACCCTGGTCCCCGCCTTGCGGCAGGGGTCGTGGGGCGGGCCTGACTCGGCTTCACGCCCTGCCCTTCCTCACACTTCTCGCAATGACAGTGTGCATTGCCGCTGCCTCCCCCCCCGCACGAACTCACAGCATTATCGCTGATATGCCGCTCATTGCCGCCCTCCACACATGAACTACTCCCAGCGTTGCAGCTGATATGTCGCTCCCTGCCTGCCTCCACCAATGAGCTAATCCCAGCGTTCTAGCTGAGTTGTCGCCCACTGCCTGCCTTCTCGCACGAACTACTCCCGCGGCCTTGTAGCCGATGTGCCGGCTCACTGCCTGCCCTCTCGCGCGAACTACTCCCAGCGCTGTGGCTGATGTGCCGCCCACTGCCTGCCATCTCGCCTAGACTACTCACTACTCCCAAGCGTTGCAGCTGACATGCCGTCCACGTCCTGCCACGCTGAGTAGCGGTAGAGGTTGCTGCCATTGCTCGGGCTTCTCGCCCGCACGCCCTGTTCCCAGCCCTGCAGCTGATGACCTTAGCCCGAGCGGGCTCTGGAGCTCGAGCTGCCGCTCACAGCTCCTTTTCGCATGAACTGCTCCCAGCGTGGTAAGTGATCTTTCGCTCACTGCCGCCCCGCTCGAATGAACAACTCCCAGCGTTGTACCTGCAATGCCACCCACCGCGCTGCTTGCCTCGAGCTCGAAGTTCGCCTCCAGCGCCTCCTCGCACGCACGACTCCCAGCGTTGTAGCTAATCGTGGCTGCTCATTGCCGTCCGCCCTTCCCGCACGAGTGGATCCCAGCGCTGTAGCTGATTTGCTCTCACACGGCTGCACTGATTCATACGTTGCAGCTAATGATGTGGATCACCAACGTCTCTCTGCACACTGTCCGCGGTCCTCGGCTGTACATCGGGAGGAGAAAGCGAGTGGCAACGAGAGAGAGAGAGAGAGAGAGAGAGTGGACAAGGGGAAAGCGAGTGGCAACGAGAGAGAGAGGGAGAGAGAGTGGAAGCGGGGAGGGGACGGCCTGCCTTCTTGACGGCTCTCCGGCGACTGGGCTTTGCGTGTGCACGGCTCCCGGGGCCATCGCCATCTGCAAGTTTGGCCCCTCGGGACGACCTGACCCCGCGCACAGGCCCCATGGGGTGGAACACTGCCAAGGAGGAGGAGAGAGCATTCGGAGGAGGAGGAGGAGGAGGAGGAGGAGGAGGGAGCAGGGCAGGAGGAGAAGGAGGGAGGAGGAGGAGGAGGAGGAGGAGGAGGAGGAGGAGGAGGAGGAGGAGGAGGAGGAGGAGGAGAGGAGGAGGAGGGAGGAGGAGGCGGAGGAGGAGGAGGAGGGAGGGAGGCAGGAGGACGAGGAGGAGAAGAGGAGGAGGGGAGGAGGGAGGAGGAGGAGGAGGAGGAGGAGGAGGAGGAGGAGGAGGAGGAGGGAGGAGGAGGAGGAGGAGGAGGAGGAGGAGGAGGAGGAGGAGGAGGAGGAGGAGGAGGAGGAGGAGGAGGAGGAGGAGGAGGAGGAGGAGGAGGAGGAGGAGGAGGAGGAGGATGGATGAGGATGGGGAGCAGGAGGAGCATGGGGGGAGGAGGAGGGAGCAGGGGCAGGAAGGAGGATGGCCCATGGCCCCAACGTCGCGGCGGTCGGGAGGGGAGCGCTGCTTTCCAGAGGGGGGACCTCGTGAAGTGGGAGGAGGGGAGGGGGCAGATCTGGAGGGGGAGGAGGAGGGCGAGGAAAGATTTGGAGGGGGGAGGAGGGGGGAGGAGGGGGGAGGGGATATCTGGAGGGTGGAGGAGGGGGGAAGATCTGGAGGGGGGAGGAGGAGGGCGAGGGAGGATTTGGCGGATGGGGAAGTGGGAAGGGGGGGTCGACATCGTGGGGGAGGGGAGGGGAGTGCTGTGTGTTCAGAGCTGGTCGGGCTCGGGCGGTGACTTGTTTCACGCATCGTCGACGTGTCGCGGTCAGGGGGTGCCCTGGATTGCTCATCGGGATCTGGCCGGTGGGAGTGATGAGGGAGCAGGCTGGACATAGGCACGAGGCAGGAGGAGAAGTAGGAAAAAGATGGAGTGGGAGAAGGATCAGGGACAAGGGATGGGGATGGATGCGGAGAAGGCAGAGAGAGAGAGAGAGGAGGGAGGAGGGGTCCCTGAGGAGAGACGATGGACGAAGGGATAGGAGAGAGGGACGGGGAGAGACGAGGACCAGGAGGGGAGAGGATCGTGCGGACGAGGGGGAAGATATGGAGCAGGGAGATACGAGGGAAGAGGGAGGGGGATGAGGAGGAGGAGGAGGAGAAGGAGGAGGAGGAGTAGGAGGAAGAGGAGGAAGAGGAGGAGGAGGAGGAAGAGGAGGAGGGGAAGGGGGAGGGGGAGAGGGGGGCGAAGGTAGTTGGGGAGGTCGCTCCCACGGCGTACGCAGCAATGATGAAGGGCAAGGCCGCCATGATGAAGGGCATGGAACCCCAAGACGCGGTGGCCCTGGACGCGACGCCCATCCTCCGCTTGAGGGTGCACCTCCTCCCCTCCTCTCCTCCTCCCATCCTTCCCCCTCTTTCCTGCTGTTCCCCTCCCCTGCCCCCTCCCCATCCCCATCCCCCCCCTCCCCCTCCCATTTCCCCCTCTCCTTCCGCACCTTCCTCACCCTCCGACCTCCCCTCCCAATTCTTTCCTCTCCACCCATTCCCACCGCTGCCCCCCCATCACCATTGATCCCGCCTCTGCACAATACAACATATGGATACTACCCTCCTCTGACTACGTGAGGTAGGTATCCTGCCCTTCCGCGTATGGCTTATCACACAGAGGTTTTCAACATCTGTTGTTATTGCGGCTTTTGCTCGCTCAGAGTGTTATATGGTTTTCACGATGGTGTTGCCGCTGCAGCGTGGGCCTCATTTCGAATCAGCGCTTGGCTGCAATTGATCAGATCGGCGATCTTGCCCCAGCGTGGGCCACCTTTCTGGATCCCGCAGGTCTCGCAGGGCTTGCAAGCCCTACAGGTCCCGCAGGCTCCGCAGGTCCCACAGGACCTACGGGTGCGCAGGTCACCCTGCCACAGGTACCACAGGCCTGACATGTCCCACAGCTACAGGCTTCGGAGGTCCTGCGTTCCACAGGTGTGACAGGCCCGCAGGTCCCACAGGTCCAACAGGTGACACAGGTCACACGGGTCCCGCAGAGGCCCCCCAGGTCCCACAGGCCCCACGGGTTCGGCCTGTTCCACAAGTCCCTCAGGTCTTGCAGGTCTCGCAGGTCCAACAGCTCCGACAAGTTCCACAAGTCGCACGCTTCCCGCACGATTCACAGGTCTCGCACAGTTCCCACATTTCCCGCAGACCCCCCAGGTTTCACAGGGCCCACAGTTCTACATCTCCCACCTGCCCCACAGGTCCCACAAGTCTCACAGGCCCCATAGGCCACAACGTTCAACTGGTCCAACATATCGCGCAATTCCCACAGTTCCCACCTGCCGCACAGGTCCACGGGCCACGTCTGCGGCTATCAAGATGCCTTGTTGGAGAAATTAAGTTCCAGGTCGGTGACGTCACGCGTGCAGAAGGGATGGGAGGGCGTGATCGGATGTCAGATGTGGCGAGAGCGCACCTAGCTTGCCTCCCCCTTCCCTCGACGCTCCTCCGCCGTGTGCCCCCGCCCCCCCCTCCGCGACACTATTCCCTTCTCCCTCTTCCTTCTTCTGAAGCAGCTGCCGTCCGCTGCTGCCGTTTTGTGTTGCGCCTCTTTGCGTGAAGCTGTTTTGCGCATCAACTCGCAGAAGACGGTGGGTAGTTTGATCGCGCCCAGAGCTTTGTCCGAGGCGTGGATCCGCCTCCAATGCAGGCGGCACAGGGCCCTGCAGAAGGCGTGGGATGGTCACCCTTTAGCTAGGGAGGCCCCACACGTTACTTCAGACCGTTTTTTCCTGCGGTGCAGAAGAACGTACAAGTGCTACGCTTTGGACAACAAGTTGCACACAAACATCACCATCACCATTGTCATCATCATCATCGTCATCCTCAACATCAGCATCACCATCAACATCAACACCAGCAGCATCATCCGCCTCAGCCTTAGCCTCACCAGCATCATCACCAACATCAGCATCTTCATTTTCATCATCACCTTCATCATCATCACCATCATCATCTTCATCCGTGTCGCCGTCGTCGTCATCATCATCAGCAGCATCTGCATCGCCATCATCATCATCATCATCATCATCATCACCATCCGCATCAGCATCGCCACCATCATCAACTTTGATATTTTACATTATCAGCATCGTCATCGTCATCGTCATCGTTGTCGTCACCATCGCTTCCTGCATAATCAATATCACCATCTTCACCATCATCATCATCATCATCACCATCGCCATCATCGTCATCAGCACCATCGCCATCCCCATTATCCGCGTCCTTATCATCATCAGCATCATCATCATCAACAACATCATCACCATCAAAGCAGCCATCATCACCATCTGCGTCGTCCTCATAAGCATCACCATGTCGGAGGGTCCGTGCTCCTTCTCATTACACGCAGTGCCTCATAAGTTTCGTCTGTTGCTGTTGCTTGTCTCCCTCGTCCTCTCGACTGCGCGCGGGGGTGCACGCACGTGTTCGCACTGGCGAGTATGTTCTCAATGCACCTGATGACCGCGCAGGGCAAGGGCTTCTTCGCCGCCATGATGGAGAAGGGGATGGCCATGGGCAAAGGCAGTGCCTGTCTCCTCCGGATTTCTGCAGTACGTCTGTGCGCCTTGTTTAGCATCGGTGTCCTCACCCTGGCTGCTGGGTCCTGACCTGCCCTCCGCACTGACAGCGTCGAGCAGCACGTGCGCCCGCATCTGACACATCCCGAAGTCCTCCACGTCCCGAGGGTGCTCTTGCCGTCCCGCTGCCCTGCCCCCCCCCCCCTGGTCCTGCTGCATTGCCTTGCCCGTGTGCCCGATTCTCTTCGGACGCGCCCCGCCGCTGGCCCGACCGCCTCCTGGACCCAGCTCCCCGCTGATCAACAAAGTGCCCCAATTAGGCTTGCCCAAGGGGTTCTCACTCGGTTCACGGGTCGGTGCCTCGGGTGGCGGCGCTGCCCGTTCCTCGGAGGTTCCCCGGGTTCTTCGGGTTCTCCAGATTCCTCGGGATCTTATGGTTCCCCGGGGGTCCCCGGGTTCCCCGGGTTCTTCGGGCTCGTCGGGTTCCTCTGGTTCCTCGGGTTCTTCTGGTTCCTCGGGTTCCTCGGGTTCCCCGGGTTCCTCGGGGTCCTCGGGTTCTTTGCCGCCAAGGAATGCGAAGCAATGCCAAGCAACCCGCAGCAATGCCAAGCAATGCCAAACCTTGCGCCCATGCAGCAGGAAATTTTCCCCTTATGAAGGTCGCGACGGGTTCATTTTGTGTAGGCGACCTCGTCTTGGATACCAGACTTTCGTGTCCGTTTTGGACCCTGCCATTGCGAAGCAGCCAGACGCAGGCCAACCCAGAGGCTAAGTAGCCTAGCCGATGTTGCCCCATCCAAGAACTGAGGGAGTCCATGTCTTAAGGAAGATTGAGCGCTTCGTGCAAGGTGCGGTTTTCCATCGCTACCCGAAAAAGGCCCTCGCCTTCGAGGGATTGAAAATACGACACCCTCCCCTGGTTGAAGGGGGCAGAAGACTGGCGGACGCCAGCGGAAGTGAAGTCACATAACCACCGCCAGCGGAAGCCGCCAGCGGAAGCCGCCAGCGGAGGCACCGCTTTCGCCCCAAGACGCGCAGGGCGTCCAAAGCAGGCCATGTGTTTTGCTTTTCTGGGCACTTCTTCCTCTCCCATCGCCGCGGCCGCCACTCTTGTGACGGCGGCTCTCGGCCTGTCCGGGCAGGCCCAGCGTTGGACGCGGCTGGCTCAGCTGGCCGCGGTGGCGGGGCTGCCGCGGGCTACGCGGCCAGCCTGGCAGGCGCCTCCGCCGAGGATGGGGTATCGGACGACGGGGGCGACATGTTTGCTCATGTCAAGCAGTGGTGAGGTGTCCTGTCTTGCCTATAGGCCCACCAAAGAATGCTCTAAGCACTGTTTGTGGTTTGCACGAAATGTTCTTACAACGCTTCTGCATGCGACCATGTTGTTTCAATATTTCAGCTGTTTGCTGTAAGCGCATTGGTCCTGTCATTCGAACACTCTTTTGTTCGGAAGAGACTCGTGGTAGGCCTAGGGGAATGCCAGGACGGTCGGTCACCGTAGAGGAAATCAGGGCAACAGGCGAGAGGTGGCGAGCGTTTGTCCGCGGCCGTTTGTGCTCAAGCGGCCGGCCGCCAATATATGATTGTGCCTCATCACAAGGCATAGTATTTGCCGTTGAGACCGAACACTGATTCGCTTGACATGGATTGCCGCCCCCACGACTCACTCCTACTTTTGGGACTATCGTTATTACGGTACAACAGAGTTGGATATGGGCTTTGCCTCAGGTGAAGCATCTGGTTGGGCCTCCCGATCCCCTTTCAAACTTGGTAGCGGATCTGCCCTGTGGAGGACAGCTTTCGTTCTATTCCTTACCATTCACGGCATTATCTGGTGGACTACTGATCTGGCGGAGCATCAGGGTGCAATGGCTTTGCGCGGAGGAAATTTACATATCTACGTACATCCGCAAAGGCAGTTGCCGTGCGACCTCCGTTCACGCGGAGGTCTCTTACATGAGTCGTGCATTGTTGCGCTACTACACTCCTACAGTCCACCTTCCTACTCTACTTGGGAAGCTCTTCGAAGACACGATGCATGGCAACATGCGATACGATACTGCGCCGCCTCCACTCCCACGCGTGCCAACGACGATGTCACACCATAGAAACCACAATCGCAAACAACCGACCACGACTTACGAGGCCATTGGATTGGTATTGCAATGTTTGGCCTCATATGGATCGCTATCGGATGTGCTGCTGGGCACATGCAGCGTGGCGGAGACGACACACGTACTACCGGCCCCCACTGGGACCTTGCTTGTAGCGTACTTTTCCGCGAGCTTGTTCGCGAAGTAAACGCCTGGATCAACGGGACCACAGGCACCATGGCCCCCTCCCAACACGCGGCGGCACTACAGCGTGGTTTGGGAGGGCTTGCGAAGACCATGTCCATGAGAGTACCCCCCGCAGTCATTAACTTCGGTGTTAATATCGGTGGCCGCCACACCGATGGCGTCACCTACATCATGCTCCTCCCCAGCACGGAGTTTGAACATGTATTGGAGGAGCGCCAACTTAACTCGGGAACGGCTCTCATCGACTGTCGCGCCCATGCGGGAGAGCGGATCGACAAGGCGGACGTTCGCCCGTTTTGAGATAGCACGCTGTGAAGCCGAGGCCGCAGGCTTCAACATTCTCTATTTCCAGATCCCAACAGTTATACTATTCAGAGCTGTGGGTGTTGGTACATCGCGTGCGCAGCAATTACTACAACCACTAAACCAACAAATGACAAGGACTCAACAGTTCGGCGCCCGATTAGAGCGTATGAGATCCGACGCTCTGATTTGCTGAGCGAGCTCCTGGCAACGTTGGTAGCAGATTTAGCCACGGACATCGCACCGAAGCTTTTCATACCGACGCTCATGCAGGGCAACCTGCCAACAACGTCTGGAACGACGATCCACAACCAACTGCGGCCACCACCTTACTAAGCCAGCAGGGTGGCCAGCCTATGGGGTGGCAATACTCCTGGGCTCGCTGTCAGAGGCCGTCGGCAACTGCGGCCCCGACCCAAGCCACTGCCCTCGTAGGCCCTGCGGGGCAAACCGCCGAGTGCGAATTTGACTCCGGCACCGACGCCGACACTTTACCGGCTGAGGGGAATGGATGCCTGGACTATTCCGACATGCCTGTGTATCTTACTGGAGAACAGCAGGCACGGTCGTCATTCTTTGGAAACCAGAAAAAAGGACGCCGATGGAGACGCTTTATGAAGAAACCAGTTCGACAGGTACGACGTGCGGTCCGACGGGCATATAGGCCAAAGGGCAAGGGTAGAGTATGCGTAAAAGACGGAGATTACATGGCAGAGGTCTGTTGGCATTCTTGGCATCTTACACGGGACCACAATATGAAGAGCGAGGCCGCACGCGCACTTCAGGAAAAGGCAAGGGGCGCCAGTGTAACCCGAAAGGCGCCAACAGAAACACCATGGAATGTGATATCTGCCATGGCACACACCATGTTCGTCGCGAGTGCCCCCAAGGCGATGGGAGAGGCAGGGGTTCGTCGATGCATTCGGCCCAAGCCGATTCCGACATTCAGCGCGTCGATTAGGAGATGCTCCTTGCCGAACTATGAGGCAACCCCACTGCCGCTGTCCACTTCATGACCGCGAGGCACCTGGGCGCCAGCGTGTCCCTCGAGAGATGCGCCGATGAGCTCTTCGAGGATATTTACATTGGCCACGACGAGATCAATTTTGCGGACCGGTTATGAATTCCTATCGCGGGGCAACCTGCGCAGATAGAGTTCGTCGAGGATCCCGACGTGCCCGCCGACTCGCGTCGCGAAATGGCGGGGGCGCTTGCGGGCTCCGATGCGACGATGCCAGCTACGGTGCAGGAGCTACAGTTGATGCTCCGACCGCAGGTCATTGGGAGCCCTGCCTGCGGGGAACCCTGCGGCGACGATCCTTGCGCTGGTGGCCTTTCTGAGCGCGCCCAAAGCGAACTCGGACATGGCCAAGGCTCTCACGTCGCGTTCGCGCTGCGCGACGGGTCTGCGAGCCGCCCGTCCTGGGGGCGAGCGCGCCGATCTGGCGAGCCATCGTCCACGACGTCGTGGGCGGGGTCGCTCGCGCAGGCGTTCGCGCGCCCGTTCCAGTGGCGCGCGGCGCCCGCGATCGCCTGATCAGAGGATCCAAGAACTCCGCCTAGAAGGGGGCGTTCGCGGCGAAACCCGCCACAGGACAGCGAACGCCCAGGCGCGCCCGAAGGCCCTCGCCAACGCCGACGTGTCAGTCGGAGCGACCGCGGGCTTGCCCGCCAGCGCATGCCGGAGTATTGGCGCGGCCAAGGGCGCGCCGAGCACGACGTCCGCCATTAGTACTCACTGCGCCACGCGCTGCGGGGCGATCGCGGAAAAAGCGCTGGTGCCAGCAGAGGGGGCGGCGCCGAGACGCTCGCCGCGCTGGGCTGGGGGGGCGCAGAAAAGGGCCATCACCAAGGATCGGGAAGAGTTTCGAAAACAAGTCAGTGGTTGTGAACATTTTGCGGGCCACAGACCAAACTGCCCGATGGGGCGCCCTTCAAGGGGCCCCAATTTCGAGATGGCCCCCTTGATCTGGCCCCATGGGGGTGGCCAAAGGGCGCGGGGTAGATCCGACTTGCAATCTTAGCGAAGCATGCTTGACGACGGATGATTATGAGCCGCGCCTTGATCGCGAGGCAAAACGCGATGAGCAACAGTGGAAGGACCTCGATGAAGATCACCGCCTCAAGCGATTCAGTCGAGGGCGCCGTGCGACTAGGCCCGCAGCTTCCGCGGGGCAACCCGCTTCTTCCTCTAACGAAGGTGCTGGTAAATCCACGGTCGACAGAGAGGGTAGCAATCGTGTCGTCGCACCAGCAGTTGGCCCTGCTCATCCAGCCCCTGAGTCGGAGTGCAATTGCGAGACCGACAGCAGCGAGTCAACGAATACAGAAATACACATCTCTGCCAAGGTAACGGAGGACATGGACCTGGCACCAGGCACGACAGTTGCGTACAATAGCAGAGGGCCTGGTTGGATAACCTGCAAGGTACTCGGCAAGCTGCTCGATGGACGATATCAGTTGGATCGTAAAAGCGGGGCTACGCAGCACTCTACAAGCCTGAAAATAAGCCTCCGCAAGACGGATCCTCATACAGGCCGCCAAGATATGATTGCGCGTCATCGCGAGGCACACAACTTGCCATTGGGACCGAAAACAGATTCGCTTGACATGGCTCGTCGCTCCCGCGACTCGCTCCTGCTCTTGGGACTATCGCTACTAGTGTACAAGAGTTGGATATGGGCTTCGCCTTTGACGAAGCATCTGGTTGGGCCTCCCAACCCCCTTCGAAGTCGGTCACTGCCCAACTCATGGGAGCTTTTGAGAGCGACGATGAAGACAGTTGTTGCTGCATTTGGGCCGCAGTTGGCCTGCATTTGGCCCTTACTCCTGCTCCTCTTCGCATTTCTGTTCCTCCTCCTTCCCCTTTTCTGCTCGTCTCCCCCATGAAAGGCGAACGTGATCCAAATCTGGTTTCAATTTTTTCCAAGTCGGACAACGCCGGGAGCCACGCAAGCTCCCATGACATTGGGAATCGGGTATTATGGGCCCTCATGCTGGCCACGGGTGACGTCCTAGAGCGATGTCGGGGGTCTTTTGGACCGTCCTGGGCGCTTGCAAGCTTGAGAAGGCGAGAATGCCCAAACCATTGAAAACAATGCTCTTCTATGTTTCGATGAATGTGGCTTCTTGGGGTGACCCCAGTGATTGTCATAAGGCCCAAGAAAGTTCCAGGATGTTCCCTTGAGGCGACGCAGAGTTCAAGGGCACTTATGAGCGATACTTGGAAGGCTGTCGGGGGGGTGTCTTAGTTGGTTGGGGGGTGTTGGTGTCCCGATTTCTATATGGTTACGAGGGAAACGTCGTGAGCGACCTCAGGCGTCCGTGAATTCTGGGGTATTGGTGGTCTGGGCCCTGCTGAAGATCACAACCCCAGGATCTGTGTATGATCCTTGGCCAGGGTTCCTTTTACATGTTGAAGGCACAGTGGTGGATCTTGTTGCTTCCAGAGGCGCCCACGCCTCGAAGTGCTGCTGTGAACGTGCCCCTTGACAAGACTCGGCTTCGATTCCGAGGCCGTGTCCAGCGTCCCGATTGGGTGTGGGTCCAAATGGCTTAAATGAAGAACAGCAAATGAGTGGAACGATGACCGACAGCAGTTCCAGTCGAATTTGAACACAACGCGTTTCCTTTCGTTGCAAACGTTGTCCACTTGTAACCAGCATTGTATGACCAGCAGCGGCCGCTTCCTCTTTCGGGCACTATCTGTTTGGCATCGTCGCAACTTTTGCTGCCCCCAGCTCGGTTGTGACAAGATCGGAGGAAAGAGAAGGAGGGGAGCAGAGGTCCCAGTCAGCTTGCCGTGCTTGGAAACTCGCGTGATCACCCTTCGAACCATACCTCGGGCAGTTGAAACAGAGGTTTTTGCACTGAGGATACACTCCAGCCACTTCGATGCCTGGAGTTCTGTCCCCAATCTGCCAGGTCACCAGTCGTGTCAGGCATTGCGTCGTGAGGTTGGTGTTGGTCCTTTATTTGTGTTTGAACAGGCCCTGGGCGTTGTTTTTACCGTTTTGTATTTTGGGCGCTTGACAAGCTAAAAACGCAAAACAACAAACACATTGACTACGGTGTTCTCAGCTTTGTTTACTGGGTTCTTGTTTGCGTGTTCAGGCCCGTCGCTGTGGATCTTCATGGTTTTGCGTATTTGCTTTCATGTCAAAGGCTACTCCTAGTCTTCACTGCCGTCTTCTCTCCCGCTCTCCCGTTCCTGCCGCCTCCCGTTCCTCCCGCTCTGTGCGCAGAGCGCAGAGCTAAAAACTCTAAAAACCCGAATACCAGCGCGGAACAGGCTTGGAGGCCCCGCGACCAGGCAGCAGCGACGACCAGAAAAGAGCAACATGTTCAGAAAGAAAATAGATTGGACGCAAGGAACAGTGAACTGATTACGTGGTAGACGGCAGCGTTAAACAGTGCAACCATTTGACTTGGAATCGTAAAAAAACTGCGCTCACGACTCAAAAATAATGACTCGCTTTCGAGAGTATGTGATTGTGTCGTTGGGACCTGGAACCGATCAAAAGTTGGTTCCCCTCACGCCGAGTTAGAAAGTGTAAAAAAAGTCCCAGAGCAGATGCAAGAAGAACCAAGCCCGTTGCGACTCAGTCGGAACACCAGTCCCGAGTTGCAGCCCTGGCTCGGCGGGCGGAACTGCTGGGAGATACAGTTTTTCGACTATGCCGGGTGCGTTTAAACGGTCGTTCTGGAGAGAACCGCATCGACGGCGATTTCGAGGTAGTCCTTTGATGCTGGCCGGAGCCCGATCTGAGGGCATCTCGGGGGGCCCACCGCCACACCAGGGTGTCATGAGTTGGTCGAGTGCTGTGCAGGAGGAGTGAGGGTGGGGGGGTCAGGGGCGAAGCGCAGGCATGGGGAGGGGAGGGGCCTGTAGGGCCAAGCGCGCTGACCCGTCGGCCCTGCAATCGATGTTTGTGTGCCTTCTGTCGCGGCCCCCCCGCGGCATCACACCAAGATCTGGCGCACCCGCATGAGCAGTGCAGTGCCCACGCGGCCGCGATGAGATCCACCATCACAGGGGCGCTCGAGCAAGCCTTCCAGATCAAGGGACCTGCAGCAACAGACACCTTGTGCTGCGTGCCAGCAACTCGTCATGACACAGGGGTACCAGGCGGACGCCTGTGACTGTGTGCTGTGCACGCACGATGCAAAGCGTTGTAATGGCGATGGCCCTTCGAGCGCTCGCATTCCGCTCAAAGTGATCAACTGCCAGATACAGTTCTCGTTTTGCCATTCATCTTTCCCGCATTTCTCCTCCCCCTTCCCTTGCAGCCTCTGCTCAGGTTGATGCTGAGGCTCCTTTTCGGAGTCAGATTTACGTTTGTTTGTTCAGCAGGTTTTGAGTTCGACGTGCGTTGAGGCTTCGGCTGCGGCAGAGGCGTCTGTGTAGGCTTATGTTGAAGTTCTCGCGTTGCCGAGGCCATAGCGATGACCTTGCGTTGCCTTGCGCCGAGGCTCGGGCGCAGAATGTTGATGGAAGGATCATGCCTAGTTTCGGGCTTACTCTTACAGTGTTTCTTAGGCGTACTCCCTTCCTTGTGATTTGATGCCAGCTTCTGCTTAAGTTTAGGAGTCGACAGGTCAGTCGCGCCAGCATTGGCAGCCACAGTATAGATTTTGTGGTAGCGTCGCCTCAGCCGCATCAGCGCTCGCAGCATTTGCACCAGCAATCATCGCAGCATTGCTTGCAGCATTAAGGCCAGCAGCAGCGTTGGCAGTTGTAGCAGCAAAGGCCAATTGACTAGTCCGTGGTATCAGCACGTATAGTCTCAGTGGTCGTAGGAGTACAAGCAGCAGTAGCACCAGCATGTTCGAATCTTGAATTGACGCCGACAGAGGTGATTTTGCAGCCGTCACATTCACCCACACATTCAACCTAAGTGCAGTATTATGTGACGTTTGAAGATTTGGTTCTTCGTTCTCCACTGAATCGCCTTCCACTTTCTGATTTGGTATTGTGCGGTATCATCTGGACATTGGTTTTGTTCAGCGCGTTGGCGAAAGGCAAGCGTTCTCCGACACCCACTCGATTTGCCAGGGGCGGCCTGAGGGGATATCGGGTCCGTCTGCTTTTTGCAGTCTGTCTTGACCCAAAGCGTCGCGAGCGGGGTGGTTTTTGGACTGCATCGGGGTGACTTTTGGGTGCCATGCGGCTGTCCGAGGCGTTTCATGAATGCTTATGGCACACTAGCAGGCCGTCTGGTGCCGCTCGGGGGTCCTCTTTTGGGCCTTCGGGAGACAATCCTAGGCAAGCAGGATCAGTCAATCAAAGCAACTCCCGAACACCCTGGTATCTCAAGGAAATTGGGGGCAGGGGTCGGTAAATATTGGCGTGTTCTTGGGGTCGTTTTGGGCCGCTCTGGTGCTGTGTCTGGGACGGAATTGGGCTTTCATGGAGCCGTGTGCTGGTGGCTTCCGTGTCTGCGCGAGGCATCTGTTGAAGATTGTTTGTGTGTTAGGGCGGTCCGAGAGCAGTTTTGAGGTCTTTCAGGGGCAGATCAGGGCCGCAATTGGAGGCGGGGCGAAACCTTGAAAACACGGCGTGTCGTCGTGCCCCCGGGGGCACAACCCAGGATGAAACGCGGCTCGAGGAATGCCTCGAACAAATCGTGCCGCCAGGTGTTTGGGAGCAGCACGCAGAGGGCCTTAAGGGGACCCTTTGGGGCCGGGGCTTCTTGGGAGCCAGGTTAGGTTCCCAGGCTGATCTCGTGGTATTGCGGCTGGCGGTGGGAGTCTTGGGGCTATTTTACATGCGGCCGAGGGCTGCTCTGGGGCCGCTTTGGGCTGGGGTCTTGGGCAGCTTTCGGGCGCGATCGCGGTGTTTGAGGCCTGGCGTCGGGCCCTCCAGCGTGCTGCATGGACCGCTTGGAAGCAGTTCGGGGCGGCTCGAGGACTGTCTGGAGAGGGCGGGGGGGGGGGAGGGGGGAGACCAGGGAGGGAGTACGGGGGAGAACAGCAGGATCGCGGTGGGCCCTTGCCGGCCTTGCGGCGGCGGGCCTCTTCGAGCAGTGCTTTCCGAGGCCGTTCTGGCTTGAGGCCCCACTGGCTCGGGGTGCGCGGCGCCGTCTGCCCCCCCTGCGGGCCTTCCTCCTCGCCCCCTGCCCTGCTGCAGAGAGGGGAGAGGCCGTGCTCGCTCTCATTAGGTGGCATCTCCAGGAGGGATGAGTTCAGCGTGGGCCCTGTCATTTCCTGGCTCCAGACCTGGCCTCTCCCAGCTCAATCCCGCTTTTAAGTTGGCCCAGCATGTGGAGTACATCCCCAGGGCGGAGCCGCTTTCCTCTCGGTCCCAGAACAGACGGCATGACGTTCGGTCCCCACATGTACGAGTGAAGTTGTGGTGGATCTGATCAGTGGATGCAGGGATCAGGTCTCGTGTGTGTGATTGGAGGCACGGTAGATTGTATGTCTGTTGGCGTTGATCTGATCTCGCTTGTTCCAGATGATACCCGCTCCGTTTTTCGCACCAGCATCTGATCCATACCGCGTCCAAAAGTTTGCTCCCCAAACAGTTGCTTGCACGAAGAGGCCCTCATTATTTGAAAAGTGAGTGGCCGTGCGCTGTGCTTTCTGGGTGTCCGCGGGGTGCCCGCCCGTGGACGCCACGAGGGCGCCCCGGTCGCCTCGCGGGCGCCCCGTGCGCACAGGCTGGCTTTTCTGGGGTTGCGCGGGTGCCTCGCGCCCTGTCTGGTTGTCATGGGTTTGCAGCTGCTGCCCGCCCGTCGGCTCTCCGCTGAAGCCTCGTGCGCTGGTCGGGTTGTCCTAGTTCTCGGGCCGTGCAATCTCGTCGTCGGTTCGTGGGCGCCTCCTGCGGTATCTTATGTACGCATCAGTTGCACCAAACTAGCAGCGCCATACGGATTGCACCACATGGGCCGCACTACATTACCTGCACCCCCAAGGTTGCACAGCATATCTAGCACTGCCTAGAGTGCACCACATCGGTTGCGCCTTGTAAACTGCGCGTCGTAGTCTGTAGACTGCATGCTGCACCACAAAGATTGCACAACAACAGGCTACAACACGTGGCTGCACCGTGCACAGACTGCACCACAACTGTTCGGGTGCTACGCTGGCAAACACATGAGTACATTCTGCGGGAAGCCAGCAGGAAATCGGATCCAAGGCCCCAGGGCCCGCCCGTGATAAGATTCTGCGGAGGCGGGGGGTTCGGTACGGGGAGTCGTGGTGCGCACGTCGAGAGGAAAGTGTTTCGCCCTGCGTCAACAATCCGACCCGGTAGCAGCTGAGTTCAGCCGATTCTGGCTTCATCGCGCCCAGGAAGGACCCAGGAGCTTGCCAGCCTGGATCATATCCCTATCCCTATGCTGGGCACCTTCTCATCACGATGCCAATCTTAGGGATTCCCTCATTTTTTCAGGGCGAATCCCTAAGATCGTCATCGCCTTTTGGCGTGTCAATCTTAGGGATAGGGATACGTTCGAGGCTGGTAAGGAGCTGCCTCCTAACGCCCGACCTCCCCGGCCGACCTCCCTCTCCCGCGATGCCGAAGGTGGACCGGGCGGCCAAGGCCCGCGCGAAGGCGAAGTCGGCGTCGAAGAAGGCGGACGACGCCGACGAGGCGGCTCTGCTCGCGGGCGAGGGCGCCGGCGAGCAGCTCACCGCGGAGCAGCAGCGCGTGGCCGTGAGGCGGGCGGTCACGGGCGTGCTCGCCTCCCCGAAGGCCGCGCCCGACGTGAAGTTCGAGGCCTTCAGCGTCCAGGTCGGCGGCAACCAGCTGGTGACGGACTGCAGCATGGAGCTCAACCAGGGCTGCAGGTGCTCAGACCGAGGCTTCCGAACGTGCTTGGCTCAGGGGCAACTCTGGGGGGGGGGGAGTTGGCTCGGGGGGGACGAGTCGACCCCCCATGGGCCACTCATCGCCGACGGGGCCCGATAGCCCACCTCGCTCGGCACCGTGCGGATTCGCTGTGGGGGGCCCATCGCCGAGCTATTGGCGACGCATCGCCGATCTCAGGTCGATGCCTCCCCGCCTAAGTTGATCCTCCCCCTATCGTCGCCCCTCCTGAGGAGGGGCGAGGGGCAGGAGGGAGGGGGCGGGATGGGGAGGGAGGAGGAGGAGGAGGAGGAGGAGGAGGAGGAGGAGGAGGAGGAGGAGGGTACAACAGCACAGACCCAACCTCATGCTCGCCGACGCCAACGGCCGACTTGGAAGCGTGCAGTCGACATCGGTTGGACCTGCTGGACTCTCCCAGACCGAGGACAGCAACGGCAAGGAACTCCACGAGATAGCAGCCGCAGGGCACTACGTCATCGCCAACACCGTGATCTCCAACGGCGACGAGCATCACACGTGGACAGACGCATATGGGCACAAGCATCGCATCGACTACATCATCGCGGACGATACGCTCATCAGCCACATCACCGACGTCAAGACATTGGCCGACATTGAGACCATGAAGAAACACCGAAAAGGGCAGCACCACCGCGAGGATCACCTGCCAGTTACAGCTCGAGCCTGCTGGACCGTGCGGCACACTGCGCCAAAGCAGCTCTTCCCGAAGATCGACAAGCACCAGCTCAATGACGAGAAGGCCGTCGAGACCTTCAAGACGCACCTCGACGCTACTGTCTTACCGTCATGGGGGACGGACTACGATGAGCACATCCACCAGTACATGCTGACCATCATGGAAGCAGCGACCTCAGCGTTCAAAAGAAGCGGGAAGAAGAAATACCAGGAGTACATCTCAGAGACCACGCTCGACTTTGTCCTCAGCCGACGGAAGTTCATGAAGCTCCTCCGTAAGGCAACAACACATGGAGCGACAGCCAGCACGACAAAGCGCAGAATCCAAAGGCTCATCAACGACATCCACAATGACCCGACCCTTCAGATGACGTCCGAGGCGATCCATACTACTTACTGCGAGACTTACATGCTCAACTACGCTGCAGCGAACTTCCCTTACAACCCCGACTATCATGGGTTTTTACAACACGTACGGCAATGGATCGACGCCACGAGAAAAGTAATCGTCAAGATGACCGACAGGGACTACGACGCGTTCTTGGAAGAGCAAGCACAAAAGGCAATGGATGCAAAGCGCACTGGCGACACGCACACCGAGTGGAAGTACACCAAGAAGCTCCTGCTATTCGGCGGCCGCAAGAGACGTAAGCGGCAAGCATACCCCATGATGAACGCAGCAGATGGCACTGTCCTCGACAGCTCCACGAGCAAGGCCGACGCAGCCACACGACACTTCGGACACAACGAAGCAGCCGACATCCTCTCCGCTCAGGACGTGGTTGACAGATACAACGCCAAAGAGGACAGGACCGACCCAGCCCAGCCCAGGAGAACGCGTCACGTCAACAACTTCGCCAGCATCTATGAGCTCACCGACATTCTTCACAAAGCGAGACCTCACCGCGCACCAGGACCAGATCGTGTATCCGACGACTTCTCCAAGATCGCCCCACGGCAGATGGCCCGACACATGCATCCGATCATCACCAAAGCGGCGCTCTTCTGCAGGGAGGGCGTAGCTCTCAAGGGGTCCAGGATGACGTACTTCTGGAAGGGCAAGGGCAGCGAGGAGGACCTGAACAACCAGCGGTCAATCACGTTAGCCAACACCGTCATCAAGCACCACTACAGATACATCAGACAATGCATGAAGGACCTCATCCCCACGATGCTCTTCTCCACTCAGACGGGAGGCCGACAACACTACAGCACGGACATCAACCACATGACGATGCGGCTCCTATCCAACACCGCCCACCACTTGAAGCACGACATGGTCATCATCATGATAGACTTGAAAGCAGCCTTCCACAAGGTAGTCAACCAGCTCGTGTACAACTTCACCCAGACCAAGGAGCAGCTGGACGACCTTCTCGCCCACATCGACATCCCCCACGTCATGCTTCCCGCGATCGAGGCCCTCATGACCGACAACGGCATTGTCAACCAACACGTGGACAACCAACACATTGTCGACATGCTCACAGAGGCACACACTGGGACCTGGTTTTATATCGACGACCAGTGCAGCTACGCAGCACCACGACTTGGTACACGCCCAGGCGTACCAACAGCCGACTTCACATTCAACATGCTCATGGCGGACGTCACGCGAGACTACCACGACCACGCCGTCGAGGATGGAGCGACTTTCGACATACCGCATGCCCCACCACGTCTACGAGCTTGCGACCACAACGCTACACTGTCCTCTACATCCTTCGTAGACGACGTCAAGGCGGCTGCATCCACGGCAGACGGCACCATGATCCATGCACTCATCACCAAGATGTGGGGACATCTCATACGCGCGACACTGCGAAGAGGCCTCCCGATCAACACTAAGAAGTCCAGCTTCATCGTCTACCCCAACACCGTCGCAGGCAAAAGAGCTACACGGACCATGATACGGGACAACCACAGCATCACTGACATGGGGCTCTGCGTCACCATCGCTAGAAGCACCAAGCTGCTGGGCGCGATGTTCAACGACAGGAACGACATGGGCCAGGAGACGGCAGCACGCACCATCGCGCTACGCGAGACAACAGGCCCACTCCGACGCACCCTGTTCCAACGACAAGCCATCTCCATCCAGACTAAGATCCACTACCTCGAGTCATTCGGCTATTCAAGACTGCTATTTAACGCGGGGACATGGCTCATCACAACAGCGCGGGACTACCACAGGATCAACACAGCCTACGTCACTGCGGCTCGACAGGCAATAGGAATCACCCACAAGGCCATGAAGGACAAGCACATCACCAACGAGCAGATACTGGCACGTGCTCAACTACCGAACCTCGAAGACCGACTACGATGGCTACGACTGCGAGAACTTTTGCGACTCATAAAAGGATGCCCGTACGAAACGCAGGCACTCATTGACTACGACATCGAAGTCAACGGCACCTGGACGCAAACCATCAACAACGACATCCACACATGCCGACAGCACTGCGACGGCACCCGCATCACCACCGCACCCAAGGACATCATCGACTTCATCAAGGCTGCACGCAACGACATGCACACGGTCAAGTCTTTTATTACGAGCACCTACAAGCGCGCACAAGACTCATCCTCCGACCGAGCAGCGCAGGACCAGCTGCGGGCAGACCTATCGCTAACGGCAACAGCACTGGGAGTGCCGCCACTACCCCGACAAGCAGGAACCACGACACCAGCACCAGCCAGAGTTATGTGTTACCATTGCGGTGCTACCTTCAAGACCAAAGCAGCACACAACAAGCATGTCTACGCAGTCCACCGGGACAAGCACACCATAGACAACTACATCGTCGGCGACACCTGCCAGGTATGCTTGAAGTACTTCTACACCGCGAACAGACTTACCAAACACGTCAAGTCGTCACACCAGTGTGCAGCCACACTGATGCAGTTCGGAGCGAAGCCGCCAACAGAAGACATCGACGCGCACAAGGAGGAGACCCGACGCGTAAGACGATCCAACCGACACGCTGGGCTTCCAGAAGACTACGCCGAGCGGCCACCCATCCAGCTACACGGGCCAGCACTGGGACCACCAACCCACGCCGACCACGACCACCGACCAATACCAGCCCAAATACCCACCGACGCACCCACCACACAAGACAGCGGACCCAACCGAGCAGACACGGGGATGACCGACATCACAGGAAAGCCCAGCATCGTACTGCTCTTCACCGCCAACCACGACCACACCAGCGCGGTGACCGACGCCCTCCAAGCCACCGCAGACAGACACAGCATCTCCATCGAACTCCACCACCTGCCAACCACGCACCCACCCCAACCTGATCCAACGGCTTCCGACATGGCCACGACACCATACGACCACGCCGCCTTCTGCATCATCGACGCCGACCTCACGACCTTCGACCGCGACCTCAACCTCAGGACGCAAGAGGCACCTTGGGGACGACTGGACCTCACACCCACGCAGCACAGAGCGGTACGACAAGACAACGACAGCATGCGGCACGTCCTACGGACCGCACAGCGGATGATGACGATGCGCACACCTACCATCATCCTGGACAGCAGCCTCCGACACCTGCAGATACAGGAATATGCATACATCACAACGACGTGCAGCACAACCCCGACCACAGCATTCACTGCTTGCAACTGTCCTGCAGACATCACTACGACAACTACACTGACGCAGGCCATAGAGCAAACACTCCAGCCCACCGCCGACGCATACACAAAGGCACAGACGTGGCACTATAATGGATATGATGGCAACGATTGCTGGATGTCAGAACGTCCAGGCGCGGTGCTCCTCGAGCCGCGACCTGGACAGTACGGTGGCCAACTGTCGGCGGAGGAGATCCAGAAGGAGCTGTCGTCTACTATGGCACATACACAGTTTGCAGGATACCCTCCCAAGAGGCCTCCACCAGAGACCGCACCTCCCAGGCTGGCATCTTCGACTTCAGCATTACCTCCAGCGGCACCACCAGGAAGTATTGCATGCTCTTCAACACCCGTCGGCACGCACTGCTCACCTCCCCAGCCCACGGGGCGCTTGGGAGGTAGGCATAGTCCACCTCCCCAGCCCATGGGGCGCTTGGGAGGCAGAGGGTACCGACCGACGGGGGTCATCGAGGCTACTGGGACGGAAGTCGGTGGTGGGGCATCACTCCTGGAGACAGCGCAGCACCAGCCACGCCAGCATCACGAAGGCGTTGAGCAACTTCGTCAAGCTGGACTCCTCGAGCCGCGACCTGGACCTGGACCACCGACTCCACATGGCCAGGAGACATCCTCACAGCCCGTAACAGGGGCACAAGAAGAGCAACGGGGGCAACCACCACGCGAAGGCGCCGAGCACGCACGCGAACGCCCCCGTGGCCCCCCGAACGACAACCACGGCGAGCACCACCCCGCGGAGTACAGGTTGGTGATCACCCCCTCGCGGTGAGCGTGCCGGCCCCCAGGAACGGACCTGGGGGCGCAGGCGGCCGCGAGGGGGAAGAGACCACCTTCATCCTTTGACACCTGGGCCCGCGGGACGCCCCCCCTCCCCCCCCGAGAAGGTTGTGGGCCCCCCCTCCGTTCCTTTCTCGCGCCCACGCAGGCTTTGTTTCTCTCCTGGTGAGGGGTGGGGGCCCACAACCCTACAATACATTTGCCCCCCCCCACCACCACCTCCGCGTCTTTCGAGCGAGGAGGAGTACGTACTCCACTATGGAGGTGGTGGTCGGGGGGCGGCGGGCCCAGTACAAATCTAGGCCCGCCCCAGTGCCTGGACCCTGGCTCCGCTTTCCTCTCCTCCCAGGCCCTTGAGGTCCCTTCCTGGCCCCTGTGGCTCCTCTCACCCCCGTCTGCGGGCCAGGTTTCCAGAGGCGTGTTGAGGCCCCCTCCTGAGGCCCCTTCAGAGGACCTCTGAGGCAGGGGGACGGGCGTCGCGCCGCGCGATCGGGCGCGCGCGCGGCGCGGGCTGCGGCGGACAAGAACCGCTTTGCCCGCAGTGCCGCAGGAGGAGGAGGAGGAGGGCAGGAGGGGAGGAGGAGGAGGAGGAGGAGGAGGAGGAGGAGGAGGAGGAGGAGGAGGAGAGGGCAGGAGGGGAGGAGGAGGGCTCTACCCCCCGGGGACCTCTGGAGGCCTTCCTGGGCCCTGCGCAGCCACTTCGGGGGCTCCCGGGGACCTCTCCGACCGCCCGCGCGCGCTCGCCCTCCTCGGCCCTCGACGGGGAGGCCGCGGCTGGACGCCGCCCCTCCTCCTCCTCCTCCTCCTCCTCCATCCTCCTCCTCCCTCCTCCTCCTCCTCTCCTCCTCCTCCTCCTCCTCCTCCTCCTCCTCCTCCCCCTCCCCCTCCCCCTCCTCGTCGGCCTCCCCCTCCTCCAGGGCCCCAGGACAGCCAGACAGAGACTCGGGAGGAAGACCTGGTGCGGAGGACAGCCCAGGGGCTCAGGACCCGCCCTCGGATCCTCACCCGAGTCTCCCGCGTGAGGGATGCGAGTGTACAGTGGACGCCCATGCCAAGAAACACCCTGCCTGCCTCGTGGGTCCTTGGTCCTGGCCAGGAGACCGCGGTGTTGTCCCCTGGCGAGAACGTGCGTGGCCAGGGGGAAGGGGGGGGGGGAGGGGAGGAGGAGGGGAGGGGGGGGCTGGTCACGTCACGCTTCGCGCCGGCGCCGATGCCTCCTTCGCGGTCGGCGCCGGCGCTCGGATCGTGGCCTGACCAGGGAAGGGGTGGGAGAGGGGTGGGTGGCGGGGCCTGTCGCGGGCGCTCGCGCGAAGAGCAAGTGCATTGGCCCGAGGGGTCCGAGGGCCACGAGCCGATCTCGCGCGGCTGTCCACGGGGGCCGCAGGTACGGCCTCATCGGCGACAACGGCAGCGGCAAGAGCAACGTGCTGGCGGCCATCGCCCAGAGGGAGCTGCCCCTGCCGTCCCACGTGGACGTCTTCCACCTGCACGAGGAGGCGCCACCCACGGAGCAGAGTGCCGTGGAGGCCGTGATAGCCCACATCGTGGAGCAGGCCGAGCTGTTGGAGGCACTGTCGGCCCGGATCATGGAGGAGTGCGGTCCCGAGGACGAGCGCATCGACATCATCTCGGAGCGCATCAGCGACCTCGACCCGGTGGGCGCGGAGCCGCGCGCCCGCAAGATCCTCTCCGGCCTCGGCTTTTCCGACCGGATGATCCCGATGGACCGGAAGACAAAGGACATGTCGGGCGGCTGGCGAATGCGCGTCTCCCTAGCCAAGGCGCTCTTCGCAGCACCCTCGCTCCTGCTGCTGGACGAGCCGACCAACCACCTGGACCTCGAGGCGTGTATATGGTTGGAGGATCATTTATCCAGATACAAGAAGTGCTTGTTTGTGATTTCGCACTCGCAGGACTTCCTGAACACCGTTTGTACACATATCGTCTGGTTGAACCAGACAAAGCTCAGTTAGTTGCCCGGCTGGTGCCAAGTCCGCCGACTGCTACGACGGTATATCAAATCCCCGCACATACGGAGCTACGATGTAACAGCTTGTTTTCCAATGTTCTGACTTCGGACGTTATCCGGCCAGCCCGATCATCCAGTGCAGTAACTGTTCAGGCCAGTGCACAGCGTTCCGACAGAGAGTTCCATGGAGGGTTGTTGTTTGCGGCGACAGAGGTGACGTCCAGTGATATACACATGCGTACACATGTCCTATATTGTCTATGCCTATATCTATACATCATGTCAGCCAGCGTGGACCCCAAACAGTATGATATTGCAATGTGGATGGTTAAGCTATGTGGTGCATCCATGGGGTGTGAGCTTTGTGGTGCAAGCTAGGTGGTGCAATATGCAGGGTTTAATCTGCCTGGTACGATCTTCGTTGTGCTAGCTACGTGATACTAGATGCTCAGTGCAAGCTGTGTGGTGCAATAGACATTGTGCAGGCAATGTGGTGTATGCTATGTGGTGCGAGCAATGTGGTGCAGTATACGCGATGCAAACCATGTAGGGCAAGCTATGCGGTGAAAACTGTGCAGTGCGCTCTGTGCTGTGCAGCTGTCGTGGTGCGATAAGTGTGGCGCGCGCCAGGCGGTGTAACGACGTGGTGTTAGCTGTGCGGTGCAAAGTATGTCGTGGAAGCTATGCGGTGCAACCTACGTGGTGCAAGCCATCGGGGCGCCCACGAGGCGCCCACGGGCTGGCACCAGGCCGAGCTGCGGCACACCCCCCCAGCGCAGGGTGCCCCCCAGGCGCCCACAGGCGAGCACTCGGCGAGACCTCGGCAGAAACCCCCCTGGCGAAATCTCGGGAGAGCCCCCCGGCGCCCACGGGCGCCCACGACGCGCCCACGGGCGGACACGAGGCGAGGCCTCGGCATGCCCCCCTCCGGCGCGGGGTGCCCCCAACGAGGCGCCCACGAGGCGCCCACGGGGCGAGCACCCGGCGGAGCCCCGGCGGCGTGCCCTGCCCCCGCCTCGTGGCGCCCACGGGCGGGCACCAGAAGAGGCTGCGGCAGACCCCGAGCGCGGGGCGCCCGCGGGGCGCCCACGAGGCGCGCCCCACGAGCGGGCACGAGCGCCGAAGTCCGGGAATCATAGCAAGCACGCGATGCGAAGCAGCTGGAAGCGGGAAGGTCCGAGGCCCCAGCGCCTTAAACTTGGCATCGCTCGGACGTGTGCGGTTTTCCTTCGGCGACGACCATCGAGGAGCATCCTGGATCACTTGGCGAAAAAACACGCACGAAACCGAAGAAAACACAGGAAATGGACGTCCGAGCGGTGCCCAGTTACGATCTTCTGGGACATAAGAGTTGATGCGACTGCTGTCGCGGCGTCTCCCCCATCATTCTCCCCCTGATCCTCCTTGGCTTTTCTCCTCCGGGCATGGATGCCCGACATGCGTTTGTCGTGGCTGCTGCTCCTGCTGCTGCTCCCCGCCCTCGTGGCAGTCCTGCGCAGCAGGCAGACGAGGCAAATCCAGCCAAGCTAGGTCTACCAGCCAAATTACCAGACCTGGCAGACCAGGCACAGTAGCTAATTGATCGACGAACCAACCAAGACCATCCAACCAACCAGACCAGACCAAGCAGATCAGACCAGGCGAACTGGATGAACTACTCGACCGACCAGACTATACCAGAACAAGGCCAGCCAAGCGAGTCGAACAAACACAAACAACCGAACCAGTTCGACCAGAGGATGAACCTGCGCGACCACACCGGTGAGACCAACAAGCCGAGAATGGGAGTTGAGGCCGAATTAGGTGGGGTATGGAAGGACGTCGATGCATGTTGCATCTGATCGTTCCTTCAGGTATCTGGAGTACGCGCAGCAGGTAGCGGCACGTGGGACTGAAGCAGAAGTAAGGGACGGATTACGGGCTTTGTTTTTTTTGCTCGGTACGCTTCGGGGGCCCTGCCCCCCCCCCCCCTCCCTGGCAATGCTCGGGAGGGCCCCCCACTCCTTGTTCGACGTGTCTTTGAAACGGTGTTGGGCCTCTGGGAACCTCAGCATGCAAGGCCTCCAGGAACTTCCACGTACCTCCGGAGACCCACCTAGGCTGGAGACCTCAAGCGGAGACCCCCAGAGGCCGTCGGGCACCGTCTTGCCCAGCCATGATGGGCGTGGTCTCGCTCGCCAGTGGCTCTGAAGGGTCGACGGATTATGGCGGCAACTATGACGCATTTTGCAAGGCGGTGGATGACGAAGAGCGCGTCAACATGAAGACTTATGAGAAACAGCAGGCAGACATAGAGAAGCTGTCCACCTTTGTTCGTGTCAACAGAGCGAACGGTGTGGCCACAAGTGCTAAATCTAAGAAAAAAGTGCTGGAGAAGGTTCAGGACGAAGCTGTGGATCGTCCTAAGGTGAGGCAGTGCACATTGCAGTTCAGCTTCGAAGAGTGCACGCTATTGGAACCACCAGTCCTTCCTTTTGATCAGGTCGCCTTCTCTTACAGCGGGAAGAAGGAGGACCAGCTCGTACTGAACAGTTTAACTTACACGCTCAAACCAGTCAGAATGATGATTGTGCCCCGTCGGGTAATGTTGCATTTTCTGTTGGACGCCCATGGATCTTTTTCCCCCCATCCCAGTCCCCACGTGGGAGGGAGCTCGCCCTGCGAGGGTCGAGCACCATACCCGCCCTCAGTTCCGAATATGTTTGTACCCCTCTTGGGATGAAGGCGTGACGTGGGAGGAGGGATGCAGCCCGCCTGGGAGGGGGAGGGGCGGTGGAGGACTACCTCTACGAGAAGCTAGACCTGGGGGTCGACTGCGACTCGCGGGTAGCGCTGGTGGGCCCAAACGGTTGCGGAAAGTCAACGCTGGTGAAGCTCATGAGCGGCGAATTGCACCCGACTGAGGGCGCGATCAAAAGGCATCAGCACTTGGTGATGGGGCAGTTCCATCAGCACAGCGCAGACGTGCTGGAGCCAGACATGAGCCCGCTGGCTTTCATGAAAAAGCAGTTCCCTCCGCCAGAGTGCAAGAGAACCGAAGAGGTCTGGCGTTCGTACCTGGCAATGTTCGGCTTTACCAGCAAGCAGATGACCGCAGAGATTGGCATGCTCAGTGATGGTCAGAAGTCTCGCTTGGTTTTCGCCATGCTGGCCATGAAGCCTTACAACCTTCTCTTGCTAGACGAGCCTACTAATCACTTAGACGTTGACTCAGTGGATGGGCTGGCAGAGGCCATTCGCAACTTTCAAGGAGGAGTTGTGCTGGTGTCCCACGATTTCCGGCTGATCGACCAGGTCGCTAAAGAGATTTGGGTCTGCGAGGACAGGGGTGTGCGGAAGTATGATGGGAACATCGCATCTTACAAGAAGGTTCTTGCAAAGAAAGTGGGCGCTTACAAAGTGTAGGTTTCCCAGCTCTTAGATCATCTCACTAATCAGCTGCATTCAGCACACCTCGCCGCCGTGGTATTCCAGCAACGATGCAGGATTAGGATGGTTCTGTAAAGCTCTCCCGAGCAAGCTTGTCACAATCTTCCTGGGGCAGTCTGGGAAGCACCGCTAGCCCTAATATGGCATGCTCGTTGCGTTCTCTTTGGAGACTTGTTCGGGTCTTCGCTGGGGCCTTGTGGGGCATCTTGTCACTTCTCGGTGGCCCCATGGGCTTGGATCTTTTGGCCTCTAACCGAGCTCTTCAGAAGATGCTGGGTAGAAGCATCGCGACAGCGTCTGGACGCGTCTTGAAGCCTTCTTGGCTGTGTTTGGGGGCGGTCTTGGGCGGTCTCGGGTGGTCCTCAGGTTGTCTCGGGGCCCTGTGGGGGCTATGTTGCTATGTTAGGTTATGTTGGGGGCTTTTCTTGGGGCATTCCTGGTACCGCCATATGGCTTGTGACGCCTTCCTATATTACGCTTAAGCCGAATAGCTCAATATCAGAAACGGCTCCCGCACCCCCGACCACGACGTGGGGAGTATGGGTGAGATTTCGGCACGGGGGTAGGAGGGAGATGTTGGCGGGGTCGAGTGTTAATTCTTGACTCTTCGCGTATTCCCATCAGCCGTCGGCAGCGAGGCCCGCCTTCTGTTTGTTCTTCCCCCCGCTGTTTGTTCCTCCTCGGCCCCATTCCTTCCCCTCGGCGCAATTAGCTCGTAGCTTGCTTGCTGCGACCCAGACGGCGCCCGGCGTCCTTCGGTGCGCTCACGATGAAAAAAGTATCCCCACCAGCCCATCCAGAAACGATGCCCATGAGAGCTGACGGGGGGAGAGAGGAATGCACACGCATAGTCAAACAGCGAGGCTATCTTGAGCCATCTTCGAGGTCATCTTGGGAGGCCTCCTGGGGCGTCTTGGGGCGCTCTTGGAGCCCTCTTGGGGCCTCTTGGGAGCCCTGGGCGGGCCTCTAGGGGCCATCTTGGAGGCTGTCGGTCAAATTAGGGGTGTCCTAAATGTAGCTCCCCTCCTCGGGGGCCACGATCCTCGTGAGGGGTGTCAAAAAGTGACCCTCCCAGGGGCCGAAAAATGACCCTCCGACACATCGGGCACCCTCCCAAAAAGAAACCAGAGAGGGGAGGGGAAGGGTTCCCCTCCCCGAAGGGAAGAGGGGTCTTGAAAGAGGAAAGAGACCCTCGTTAGACCACCTGTCGCCCAGAGGGCTGGTGGGATTTTCAAGCGCGGCCGCCTTTCCGCTACCCGTCCTCCGTCGAGTGATTTTCATGAGTTCATGAGGGTGCCCTGATCGCGGGCGGAAGTCTCATGTTGGATCATTATGTGTTTGGCCTTGGGGTCTTCTTGAGGGCTCTGTTTAGCCTTGTGGGCCTCTGCAGGGTAGTTGGGCCGTCTTGGACTAGTTCTGGAACGTCTTGCAGCAGTCTTGGGGCGGTCTTGGGCCGTTTCGGTGCGGTGAACGCAGCCATGAAGTAGAAGGATTCATGGCAAGTCTACACATGGGTGCTCTTCGTTGGTAGGGTCGCCCCTGGGACGTCGTGAAAACCTACCAGGCGCCTAACATACCAATTCGCCGTTGGCAGGGTGGCGGATCTCACTCTCAGGATTTGCCACGTGCGATAAAGGACTATTTTGTCAGGAGTCCATAGCTGCACGCAATAATATTGACAGACGCAGTCCTCTCTAAAATATCAGGATCGCCCATTCATTGGTTGCCATGGTGCTGCGTAGTTTGGAGCACCGTTCGCGTGACGCTAACGCTGACTACCGCCATGGAAACGGATTTGCAGAGCCCAGCGACACGTGTACGATTTGGGCACAGAGCCTGCGTGCGTGGCTCACATGTTGACGTGAGCGCGTGCGCGCATGAGTGGATGTGGGCGTGCACGCGGCCGGCCGCACGCGCGCGTGCGCGGTCGTATGTGTGTGTGTGTGTGTGTGTGTGAATGTGTGTATGTGTGCGTGTGTGGTTATAGGTCTGGGGCCCCAGACGGGCATGGAGCCCCCGTGCTCCCCGCGCTTGCCCCTCCGAGCGCCGCCGACGTCGTGCACGTCCTTCCTTCCGCGCCCTCACGCGCAGAATATGCACATCTCCTGCTCCGGTGGCCCTCCGATGGCGTGCACTCAGGCCGGGGTACTGCCGCGATGGGGTTCCAGGGGGCGAACAACAAGCTCGTGAGCTCAAGCAGCCTTGCGCGGGAAGAGGGGAGACGAAGCGGAGGGCGTGTGAGAGGACGTTTTGAAACAGGAAGAGCAGGAAGAGGGGGTGGAGTGAGGAAAGCGAGGGTGGGAAGCCGGAGGCGAGGAGGGTGGAGGAGGGGAGGCAAGGGGAGGGGCAGTGGAGGGGTGGAGGAGGTGATGGGAGGGGGGAAGCAGGAAAAAGAAGAGGAGGAGGAGGAGGGCGACTGGAGGAGTAGGTGGAGTAGTTGATAAATCAGTCGGGAACAGGAGGAGACAGGACAGGGAGCTCGCGAGTTCTGGTTCACTGGTTAGGGAGCATATCTTGCCACGGCAGGCCACCGTCTCCTGGCAAATGCAGGTTGGCCATCTAGGTCCGTTTGTTCATGATGGTGCGCAGCAGGAAAATGAGGTCGAAGAGAAAGACGAGGATGTTTGGAGGAGAGGAGTGACGGGAGGCAGGGGATCAGAGGCAAGGTTTGCGACGTCTGCTCGTTTGATGCCCCTACTCTGGGAGGCACCCGTCCGCCTCCGACGGACCATTGGCACAGCTCACTGCAGGACGTGGCGGTGGGTTCTCACGGCATGGGCCGAGCCGCGCAGAGAATGTTCACGAGCGCGATTCGGACCTCAGCTAAGTAGCAAGCGATGACGCTCGAGCCGGCGAGCCCGAACCCTTGGCGACTGGAACATGCTCCGCAAGAATGTCTTCAGTCTTTGGTGCGGGGGCGTCTGGAGGCTTTTGTTCTTTTTCTTGGGGCCGTCGGAGAAACCGATTCGGGGTGAAAATAGTTGGCCCCGGGAAGGGTCTGCGAGGTGAGAGCTGCAGGGGCCTGGTGTTATGAGCCAACAGCGTGGGCGCTCGGTCTGGCCGTGCCGCGCGAAGCAGAGTGCCCTTGTTGTTCTTGGCGCCCCCTCGAACGCCCTGAGCGTGCGGCCAGCGGCATGCAGAGGAGAAGAGGAGGAGGATAAGAGGAGGAGGAGGAACAAAAGAGGAAGGTATAAAGGAGAGGAGAAGAGGAGGAGAAGAAACATAGGAGGGGAGGAGGAGGAAGAAGGGGAGTCAAAGCTGCACCGAGAGGAGGACTACGTTGGATTATTTTGGTCTTGCCTCCGCATCGTCGAATCACAACGAGTGGCGCCGAAGAAAGCTTCCCCTATACCAAGCCGTCTCTGGGCGACAACGTTTGGCTTTGTTCATAAACTGTAGTTGAAGACGCGCAGTCCAGCTATGTCTCCCCATTCCGTTTCTCTCACGTGGCGGCGAGGGCCCAGCCGTGGCGACGGCGAGCGACGAGGGGGGGAACGGGCACCCCCAGGTGGTTGGCACATCTGCCGAGCCACGTCCTTCGGCAGGATAGCCCTCTGCGGCGGCCCGCCGAGCGCCCTGGTGCACGCCGCCGCCTGCTGCTCTCCGTGGGAAGGCTTGCCACTTCGCGCGAGCTGACCCCAGCGCTGTAGCTGATGACGACTGCACGCGCGCGTGCTTCTGCACGCAGTGCCAACCTCGCTGCCGCTGCTCACCCTTCTCGCATTGCCAGGGTCCGCTGCCGCTGCCTGTCCTTTTTTCGCACGAGCTGGCCCCAGCAGCCTGGGAACTGAGGAGGTGTTTTTGCTGCGCCGGCGTGCACCGACAACCACAGCTGCCACTGCCTGCCGTCTCGCACCGACAGTCATTGCTGGCACGGCCTGCCTTCTCGCGTTGCCAGTCCCTGGTGCTAGTGCTCTCGCACGAGTTAGTCCCGTCGCGTTGTAGTTGATGAAGTATTCTGAAGCTCGCCACTTGGCACCGGCAGCTGCTGTTACCACTTCTAGCCTTCTCGCATCGACCGCCCCTGCAGCAGCTGCCCGCCTTCTCGCACCGAGCCTTTTCGCACGAGCTGACCCCGCTGCAATTGAGGTGAAGATGCTGCTCCTGCTGGCCATTTGGCACCGACCGCTGCTGCCACTGCCCGTTTTTCTTGCACCGCCAGACCGTGTTGCCACTGCTTACCTTCTGGCGCGAGCTGACCCCCTCTGAAATGTAGCTGAAGATGCTGCTCCTGCTGGCCATTTGGCACCGACATCCGCTGTTGCCACGGCTTGTCTTATCGCACCGAATGACCCTGCTGCCTACGCGTGCCTTCTCGCACGAGCTGACCCGTTACAACTTAGCTGAAGATGTTGTTCCTGCTGGCTATTTGGCACCGACAACCATTGCTGCAATTGCTCACTTCCTGGCACCGACAAGCCCCGCTGCCCACGCGTGCCTTCTCGCACGAGCTGGGCCCCGTTGCAATGTGGCTGAAGATGTTGCTCTTGCGTGGCTGCTTTCTCGCATTCTCGCGTTTATGGCCCCTGCTGCCACTGCCTGTTTTCTGGCACTACTCTTCGGTTTGGCGTCTCCCGTACGAATTGCCCCCAGCACTGTAGCTGATGACGTTGGCTCGCGATAAGGTGTTGATTTGCAGCGCGGTCGGGATCAAGCGGCAGGAATGCAACCTGTTAGGCCGGTTGTTCGTTGCGGCGCCGGCAGGGCGGATATATTCTGCCCTTCTTCCTCTGACCTCCTCCCTTCCCCTCAGCTGCAGCTACCTCCGCTTCCTCCCCCTCCACCCGAAGGCGGCAGTAGCAGCAGCGCCGGCATAGCCAGGGGAGGTGCCGCCCTCGCCGGCCTCTTCCCTTCCCTTTACCTCCGCCTCCTTTGGGCGGCACAGACGACTGAGGCGTGGGTGGATGCGGCCGTCACGCCGGTCTCATCCTCCTCGCCCTCCCTCTACCTCCAGATCCTCTGGGCGACACTGACGACTGAAGCGTGGGCAGATGCGGCCGTCATGCCGGCCTCATCCCTCTCACTCGCCTCCTCTACGTACCTCCGCCTCCTCCGCGGGGTGGCGCTCGGAGCTGAACTGCAGTGGGCTGCGTCCTCCGCGCAAGCCTCCACCTCCTCCTCCTCCTTCAGCCTCTGCTGCTTCTGCTCCGTCAACGCTGCCACTACCACTGTGACCTCTGACAGGTGCTTCGGCGTGTGAGCGGGGCAAGAGAACGGCATCCCGGTGGAGATCGTGCCGAGAATGATGTCATCCGCCTCGTCCGCCCAATTGAGAAGGCTGCGGTCGATGTCCCCCCGCTCACGGCCGCCCGTCGGCCACAGCAGCCGGTCCTACAGAGCAGTGGCTGGCCCATAACCCCTGCGGCGGTCGTGGCTGGCCCATAACCCCTGCGGCCGGTCGTTTTCGATTCCGGCAAGCTGCGTCGAATCGCGCCTCGGCATCCGCTTGAAGTCTTCCCACATCTGCATACGCCAGTCCTTGCGCAGGACATGGGCCAGCGCATTGGGCCGCCGCCAGTGCTGCGTGTCTGGTGTGAGCGAAATCGTGAGATCTAGCCCTGGGTGCCACCATTCCCGCGGTCTACCCAGGAATGACTGCCAGCCCGTCCAGGCCAGTTGTTCCCGCATCACCTCGGCGCTGATATGCTTGGTCGTCCAGCTGAGCTGCACGGGCCAGGTGGGCTCCCAGCACCGTAGCTAATGACGCTGCTGATTTTGGCCGGCCACTGCTCGCCTGCTTTCGCATGCACCAGGCCCCACATGGTAGCTGATGATGAGTTTCTCCAGCTCTATCGTACATGCCTGCACTTTGGCAGCGGCGCCACAACTGGCGCCACGAGGGGAGGAGGGGCGGGAGGAGGGGAGAAGCTAGGAGAGGACGGAGCGTGCAACGCCTCCTGGCTGGTGCGCACGCGCCTGATCCCAGCACTGCAGCTGATGCCGTGGGGCGCCATGCTTCGTGATGTCGGCTCTTGCAAGCAGGTCCACTTCAAAGTGTGCCCGCGAAACGCCCTTGCGCCCCCCCAGTGCAGGAAGGGGCCGCTCGGGCGTGAAATGGCCGGCGCGAGGAGGACGACGACAAGGACCAGGACCAGGACAAGATGGGGTGGGCGGTGGAGGATCATGAGGAGGAGCAGGAGGAGCAGGAGGAGTCGGGGCACGAGGATGTGACGCAGCAGGACCAGGAGGAGAACAGAAGGAGGTTGTAGAATGAGGGTTTGCGTTCTTCGAAGGACGAGGACCAGGGGGGACGATGAGGAAAGCTACGGTGATTAACAAAAGGAGGAGAAGGAGGATGAGGAGGAGGAATTGTCCAAGGAGGATGAGCTGGAGGATCGGAGGACCACACAGCAGAGGATGAGAACGAGGAGCAGGGCGAGGAAGAAGAGGAGGACAGGGACGAGGGCGAGGCAGAGTAGCAGGAGGAGGAGAAGGGAGGCGGAAGGAGAAGGCGGATGATGAGGAAAAACGAAGATAAGGGGGGAGGGGGGGAGGAGGAGCGATGAGGAGACCTCACCCTTGGCGATCCTGTCGATTGACGGCTCCCCATATGACATGTGGGACCCGTGCCCAGTCCCGTACCGTAGCCGCCGCGAGGCACGCGGAACTTGAGCGAGTTTGGCATCTTGGACGTGCCCTTGGACGAGGAACCCTGGATGATGATGAGGAGGAGGAGGCGGAAGATAAGGGAGAGAGAGTTGTGGTCATTCGGGGGCACATCACCAATCTGGCCCACACGCAACGCAATTTCCTCATGTCTCATGTTCAGATATCCGGACGGTGTTGGGATTCCCCAGCTCCAGTCTTTGGAAAACGAAAGGTACCGATACGGGTACTTCCTGGATCTCTCCTGGTGTGCGTTCTGACCAGGATCTCGAGGCGAATCCAGCGGTGCTGACGAGGGCATCCCAGGAGGCCCAAAAAGGGGAAACCTGCGAAGGGTAGCTGTATCTGTAAATTTTCCTCCTCTGAAGTAAGGTTTTAGCCCAGGTCTCTTATCATGACGCCCTCGGTCGGGACCAAGTGCTTCCAATAGAAACCGTCCAGACAGCGTCCAGGCAACATATACTACGCACCCGTGTACGGCGTACTGCATCGTGTCCCTCTATGCTGCGAGTCTGTCTAGGCCTTATAGCCAATGGAGGACCCTCGTGGGTTTCTTTTTTTGCCAGGACTTTGAATGGCTAAGATGGCACCGCGGTATCTCAGGATGTCTAATGGTATGTTTACGACCCGCCATAACTCCTTAGCCTTTCAAGCCATGGTGCGAACAGCTGTCACACGTGGTATAATCCAATCATATGATGAATGCCATAGGGAGCATTTGCAGCGTTGCCTCCAAATCATCAGTGCTGACACCGTGTTTTTCGACACACCGCCGCAACCAGTACTGGTTTAGCCCCGACGGCTCCTTCGAATCAACTGTTGACATGGAAATGGTGTTCAACTTGCATAGGGGCTAAGCGCATCCTGAGCCCTAGTCCCCTACAAACTTAGCCACGGCGTTTGTGTGCCAGTGTGTTTCACGGAATTATGCAGCCCAGGGCGCCTCATCGAGGATCTCAATCATGTCATGGAAGCCATGCCATTGAAGTTTGACGTTGCCATGTCATGGAAGTCTCATGCCACAGACGTTGCCCTGAGGAAGTCTAGGCCAGCAAGCCAGAAACCTTACGCCAACGGCCCAGAATCGAGTCTCAAGTGATTGCAATACCAGTGCACCTACGAACCTGCCATCAGAGTGCAGGGACCTACCATTGCAGTGGCTACGCCAACTCCTCCGGCATCCGCGGAGTCCCAGGTACAGCCCACGGCGGCAGCACCCTTGCCCTCGACCTCGATCCCCCCCGCCCCAGGATCACACATAAACGCATGTACGCGCTCCGTTTCTCCGAAGAGTACTGCAGCACCACCTCGAGGCAGCTCTCAAGGAGTTCCCAGCCCACCTCAGGATGTCTTTAATCAGGAGTTATATGGAGATCTCGCCCAGGAAGACTCCATCCGTTCATGGGTCTCTGAGCCGCCTCGACCCCTGCGTTCTCCGCGCTCTGGGGGCTTGCTCATCTCGGTCCGAGAAGGGGCCCAAGTTGGCCTTTCAAGTGCGTTTCCTTGCAACAGAAACTCTGTGCTTCTAGGAAGCCGTGGTCATGGGGCATCCCAGCCATTCTGGAGCCGCTACGGTGCCCAAATGTCACGTACGAAACGCACCGTCTAGTTGGATGTTCCCAGAGATTCAGGCCTTGCAGGGGCAGTTCAGGGTCTCCTCGGATGACCTTCACTGGTGCATGTTCGGTGCCCAGTCTCGTAAGTCAACTACCCTTTCGGATGTTCATGATCCCGCCCTCGGCCAGGTCTTATAGGGCCATGGATCACTGATTCAGTTGCAGCCGCAATGGGGGAGGGTACATGGCGCTACACTGCGTCGATGCCCAAGGTACCTTGCGAACGGGTGTCGCCAATGCGTACCCCTCGGCCATGTGCAGGCTCTTGGCCCGCAGTCTAGTTTTGGACGCTCGTTTCAGGTTCCTTGAGATCGCCTCTGGCATGACGCAAGCACCTCTATCGCATTGCCACTGTGTCCTACCTACCTGCTCAGCGCCAGCACCCGACTGACCGACAAAGTTGCTTGTCGCAACGAGCTGGGTGTTTCTATGCCTACCGACGGCTGGGTACCAGATGGATTGACTCGACAGTATGCCCCATCCAATGGACCCGTACTTGTCAAACCGTTCTCTTGGCATGTATTGTATGCTCCTAAATCGGGGGGGGGGGGGGGGCAGTTTCAACAGGGCCTGGGTGAGGGGCGCTCCAAACCATTTCAAGCTTCGCTCCTTTTCCGTGCCTCAGGCTCTGGGGCCGGGATTGGCGCACTGCTAAAGAGTCTCCGCATTCACGGGCGCCAATCGTGAGCGTTCACTTTGAAAGACAGTAGCCAGAGCATGCCGCCGTCATTGAAAGTATCAGCTCCAGAGGCTGAGGGGAACGGCGCTAATTCTCCCCCGCCTCGTTTATTTCCCTCCGTTCTGTGTGTTGATGCTCACATGAAAGGCTAACCCGCTGGCGGCCTATTTCCTGGCGGGCGCGTCCTCAGGGCTTCCTATTCTCGGAAGGCTGCACCACTCAGTGTTTAATCACTTGCTGCTGAATGTGCCCTTCATCCTGCCTCCGTCTCGTCACACACGTGGTATGGGCTTCCATACTCTGCCTTCATCGGCCGAACGACCGACCGAGGAGAAGTTAGATGGGCGGAAGAGGATGAGAAGGAGGATGGCGCGCGTGTGTGTATGCGTGTGCGGGGAAGGAGGAAGAGGAGGGAGAGGAGGGGGAAAGGTCGGACGAGGATGAGAAGGAGGAGGCGCAGCAGCAGCAGCAGCAGTTCTCTCCTCACGGTCTAAGTCGATATTATTCCCCCTTCCTCCTCCTCCTCCTCCTGATTCTCCCCCACCCTATCTTCGATACGTCCCACCTTCGCATGGTTCGAGGCCCTCCGTCCACTGCGTCCTCGGTCGAGTCTGAGAGGTCATGCGGACGGGGGGGGGAGAGACGACCTTTGGGGTGAGTCTTGATTTGATGGTGCTGCTGACGTCCGGCCAGCATCGACACAGCCGCATTCAGGCATGAGCTCGCAGTTCCAGCGTAGAGCTGAGCGGATGGTAAGGCGAGCTTTTGGACGGCATATTCTTGGGGCACAGGGCAGACAAGGTTCGCTTAGCGCCTCCTGGCCCCAGTCAGGAATGGATCAACCTCATCACAGAAAGCCTGGGCCACTCGCAGGGCGCGAAACTAATCGCGCACTGCAAGTCGCGGGCCTGGCCGAAGAGGTACGCGAGCGCGAAGATCACCACTTCCCGACAGCGTGAGGCGCGGAACCGTGTGAAACAGTAAAACAGTGCGGAGGGCAGGGCCGAGCAGACGGAGGGACGTGAGCACTACCTACGGTCGGGGATCTTTTGGATAGCGTGTCGCTCCGCCGAGTCTGGCCCACCACGCTTTGGAGCCACACGCTATCCACTTTGCGGTCCCCAGGCGTCCACGCCCCGAGCCTTTCTGTGCCCCCCCGGCCCGCGGAGCGGAGCGACACGCCATCCGCTTGCAGGGCACATCGTGTCGCCAGGGCCGCCGCGGCGGCACGCCAGTCAAGAGTTCCAGACCGTAGCAGCAGCGAGGGGGAGGGGAGGGGTGGCCTGGACGCGGCCGCAACAGATCGAACGAGGACCAATGGGAGGACGGTGGGTTGTGGATACGGGAGGTTGCACCGTCTCATCATCATCATCATCATCATCATCATCATCATCATCATCATCATCATCATCATCATCATCATCATCATCAGCATCAGCATCAGCATCATCATCATCATCAGCATCAGCATCAGCATCAGCATCAGCATCCTCATCCTCATCCTCATCTCATCATCATCATCATCATCATCATCATCATCATCATCATCATCATCATCATCATCATCATCATCATCATCATCATCATCATCATCATCATCTTCCTTGTCTTCCTCTTCCTCATCCTCCTTTGTGTATCCCTTGTTCACGTCCTGCTCCTGTCCTCCTCCCCCTCCCCCCGGATGGAGGAGGGAAGAGCGGAGGAGTTGGGGGACGTAGGCGTGGGAGCTGCATCAGGCCCGCATGAGCGCCAAGCGCGGCTTCGCGAGCATCTCCGTCGAGCAGGGATCTGGCGGGCTGATGACCGAGGAGCCTTTCCGCGTCCGCGGGCGCGCCCGCTCGAGGAGGAGGCGGAGGAGGAGGAGGAGGAGGAGGCGGAGGAGGAGGAGGAGGAGGAGAAGGAGGAGGAGGAGGAGCGTGGAGGAGGAGGAGGAGGAGGAGGAGGAGGAGGCGGAGGAGGCTGTGGCTGTGGCTGTGATGCGCGCGCGGCGTGCCACGTAGCCGCGCTCATGCGGTAGGAGGATGGGAGGGGGAGGAGGACGGCGGCGATGACAGCGAGGACGACAGCAGCGGCGGCGGCAGCAGCGGCGGCGGCGGCGCGGCAGGCAGCATTGGCGGCAGACGGTGGGGGGGGGGGGGGGCGCGGTTGCGGCCCGCGCAGCTGCTCTTCATGGGCTCCCTTGTTGGAGGAGCGTATACGGTCGGGGACTGTTGGATAGCGTGTCGCTCCGCTGGCGCTGGCTCACCACGCTCTGGAGCGACACGCTATCCATGTTGCGGTCCCCAGGCGTCCACAAGCCCGAGCCTTTCTGAGCCTGGGCCATTCGCAGGTCGCGAAACAAGTCGCGCACTGCAGGTCGAGGGCCTGGCCGAAGAGGTTCGCGAGCGCGAAGATCACCACTTCCCGACAGCGTGGGGCGCGGAGCCGTGTTAAACAGTATAACAGTGCGGAGGGCAGGGCCGAGCAGACGGAGGGAAGTGAACACTACCTGCGGTCGGGGATATTTTAGATAGCGTGTCGCTCCGCCGATTCTGGCCCACCACGCTTGGGAGCCACACGCTATCCACTTTGCGGTCCCCAGGCGTCCACGTCCCGAGCCTTTCTGAGCCCCCCGCCCCGCGGAGCGGAGCGACACGCCATCCGCTTGCAGGGCACATCGTGTCGCCAGGGCCGCCGCGCCGCCACACGCTAAGCAACAGTTCCCGACCGTTTACTCCTGAGGTGCCGCCACTTTGGCAGGCGCTGCCCTCTCGCCGAGGCGGATCTCTCGGCCCACTCGACGCCCCGAGCGCGGCCGCGCGGGACACGCCGCCTCTTGGAGCGCACAGCGGGACGACGCCGCAGAGAGCGCAGCCAGGGGCAGAGGGGCACGCTCGGCCCCGATCACGCAGAGTCGGCCGCCAAGTGAGGAGGGCGAGCCGCCGCAGGAGAGCGGGCGGCCCAGAGGGGGGGATGATTGGGGGGGTGGATCTCATGGCCACGGCCATACAGTCGGGGCGCTGAAGACGGAACTCTTTTCGTTGGGTAGGGGCTCCGTGTTCCTTAATTGTTTCACAGTTTGCCCCACGTTTTCCTTAGGTTTTCGAAGGGAAATCGAAGTTCAACTTCTGGAGAAAAGGGGCCTCGTTCCTTATTTAGGGTTCCTTAGGTCAGCGTCCCGACTGTAATGCCTCCCTAGGTTCCACGGCACCTTTTCTTATTTCAACACATCCCTTTGCCCCCCCCCGGGCCGGCCGCGTTCATGCCTCGGGCCATGATTTGCGCCCCCCCCCCCCTTGGACGCCCCCCTCTTGAACGCCCCCGAGGGGGCAGTGCGGCCCCGATCACGCAGGGAGTCGGCCGCGCAGTGAGGGAGGCTTGCCGCCGCGGGAGCTCCTCCCGGCAGCTCCCGCATTGCCGCCGGCAGCCAGCTGCTGCGCCAGACACCGCGATGTTTCTGCCGCCTTCAGCCCTGTCGGAGGCGGTGGCGACAGTCGCCCATGACGCAGCATCCCCCTGGTCGCGCGGGCCTCAGACATCGGCGAGGGGGGGGAGGATCCCCCCCGAGCCCGGATCACGCGGCGGGCCCTCACAGCCTGGCGCTGGGTCGGCGGCCCCTCGCGCGCTCCCTCCTCGCTCCTGGCGCTCGAGCTGCCTCCCAGTCCCAGTGGGGGTGCGAGGGGGCGGAACGCCAGGCAGTACTTGGAGGCGCTTCGGGCAGCCCTGAGCACGCCTCGTCGCCCGAGCCGTGGGGGGTGTCCCCGGTGAGGAGAGGGTCGGAGATTGCCGCCCCGTCGGTGGTGCAACCAGCAGCCTCGGCCACGGGCGCGCTGGCAGGGGGCTTGGCATCGCTCGGACGTGTGCATTTTTTTCCTCGGCGAGGACCCTCGAGGACTATCCTGGACCATCGACCAAAAAAAACACGCACGAAACCAAAAAATGCATGGGAAATGGACGTCCGAGCGACGGCAAGGGGGCCGCCCCCTCTGGCGCCTTCTGGGGCGTCGCAGACGGCCCTTCGCCCAGCATCGTGCGGGCACGGGTGTGGTGGGGCCGCGGGGCAGTGTGTGGGTTTATCCCTTCTCCTCCTCGCCGCGCAGGCGCGATTGCTCGCAGGCAGCACCTCTCCTCCTCAGGATCGATCGCAGTACGGCGCTTGCCTTCAGGCACTGCCGCCAACGGGCGGCCCTATTGTGACACTTGCCGTGTTGTTGGGCCGTCGACCAGCACCCCCCGCCCGCGCTGCTGTACCCCGTGGCCAATATTTCCCCGCTGGCCCCAGTTGCCCCTTCGGCTGCTTGCCCTCTGGCTTGTGCGCAACGCCACGGCAGTACAGTCGAAACCGTGATAAAGATGGGTAACCTTCCCAAGAGTGCCCGTGCATCCGTGCCTCTTTGGTACATCCTGAACCACTTTCGATAGCTAGCCTTTTTTCGAACAACTTGAGCATGCGCGTCCAAGGTGCATGCATCCTTACCGCATCCTTCCTGTAGGTTTCGACTGTAGACCAGGTTCGCCGCCCCGAGTGCAGACCGCTCGCTGAAGGGAGGTACTCTTTGGACCCCCAGATCCCAGCATATCTGTAGGGGCCGAAACACACATACCTCAATTGCCGTCCTACTTAATGTTTCTGCCAACGTCCTCAGAACGGCCTGCGGATCATTCATAAATGTCCGTGCCTGTCCAGTCTAGCGTTTCTCCAGCAGCGTCCTAGAAGCAGGCGCCGCGTCTAGCTTCTTGCCCACTTCGCACGTACCAGGCTCGATCTGGGTAAGGCAAGTTCGACGCTTGCTCAAGACCTTGCCAGAGAGTTGTCCACATTTCCCCCAACAGTGCCTGCACCTAGGGGCTCTCACTTCGGACTGCCGGTCTGGCAGCGATGTTGTCGCCGTCGTCGCCTCGTCGCCGCCTGTTGTCTGGGCTTGACTGCTGGTCCGGCGGCTATATTGTCGCCGGCGCCGCTCCGTCGCCGCCCCGTCGCCGCCCATCGTCCGGGCCTGACCGCCGGAACGGCGGCCACGTTGTCGCCGTCGCCTCCCCGTCGCCGCCGACATTGCACATCATAGACTGCACGCGCGTATCTTGCACCACAGATTGCACCACACAGACTGCACCACACAGATTGCCCAGCACAGATCCCACCACATATGGTACACTTCGAACTCACGAAGGTGAAGCAAAGTTAACTAGGCTCCCCGCTGCCCCTCCTCGTGTCTTGGCCTCGCGCGCACGCCGCCCGCCTGCACCGGTAGACTGCGCCGCATAGATTGCACCACACAGATTGCGCTCCATTTGCTGCACCACGCTGATGAGACAGCACATCACGCACCGCTTACACTGCACCACGTCTATAGCACCGCCTGCATCGCGCACCACATAGATTGCTCCACACATCTTACACCAACGGAGTCGCACCATATGGTTTGCACCACGACTATGCACAACAGAACTTGCACCACATCGAGTGCCCCACATATATTTCACACCGTCGATGGCTAGAAGCTCACTGTTTGGGGTCCACGCTGGCTAACATTTGTGTTTGCTCTTGTTCGCATGATTGCACATGCATCGAACACTCCTACGGTGAATCACTGCCGCCCCTTGCCTTTTGGATAGAGCTTAGCCAAGCTATCGGACCATGTGTTCTCCGAGCCGTCGTTGAAACTCTTCGGGGAAGACGGGAGGAAGAGGATACTGAGGAGAATGAGGAAAAGAAGGAAAGGGGAGGAGGAGGAGGCGGAACATGATGAGGTAGAGAGAGAAGGAGGAGGAGTAGACCTCTTGGGAGCCTCTTGGGGCATTCTTAGGGTCTCCTGGGAGCTTCCTGGGAGCCTCTTGGAGGCTTCGGGGGGTCTCCTTCGGCCTCTTGGGGGCCTTTGGGGGCTTGTTCTTGGCCTGTTTGGCGGTCTTAGGGTGTTCCTGGGCCGTTTGACGCCGTCGGGAGCCATCTTGGGGGCCTCTCTGAACCGTCTTGGGGCCCCCTTGGGGTGCTTCAGGGCCGTCTTGGAGGCCATCTTGCTCGGCGCTAAGGCGACAGCTCCATTTTGAAGACGACCCCCCTCCATTCTTGCAGCCGCTGAGATGTTGTAAGTCGAGTGCGCGCGGCGCTAAGGTTAGAGCTCTATGTTGAAAACGACCTCCTGTCATCCGTGTAGTTGCTACACTGTTTTAAGACGAATGCTCGTGTCGCGAGGGTGATAATTACATTTTGATACCCACGGCCCCTTCGCTCGTGCAACGTGTAACCATTGTGAATTTCAAGTTTCAGGATCACAAGTGGTGGGGAAGTCTCAGGCGAAACGCCCGGCTCGCCCTGCCGACACGCCCGGAGCTGCGACAGGGGGAAGCGGTGCATAGGGAGCAGGGACCAGCTGGGGATGAGTCGGCTGAGGACGGGTAGGGGGCCACATGCGAACCCTGCCCCTGCCCCCCACGATTCCTGAGGGGGAGGGTGGCCCCCTATGACGGGGAGGACGTGCTGATCGAGGAGGAGGGAGGAGGGGCAGGAGCACGATGGGGCAGGAGCGCGAGGGGCAGGAGCACGGGGAGGGCGGTGGATGGGAGGGAGAACGAGGGGCACCGAGCACCTAGCCGCCCGACAGAGTCACACCGTAAGATGCCGTCATTCGGAGCTTCTCCACGACCCTGGCGCCAGGATCCAGGACGACGACGAGGAGAAAGGGGGCCGACAAGGGAAAGCCCAAGACTCTTCAAAGATGTTGGAACAAGCCCTCCCTCCAAGCTCCCTCTTCATATGCCCCTACGAGGATTGATTTCCTCTGAGGAAGGTGCCCCGTAGGGAGACAACCGTGTGAAGATCCTGAAGCGTGCCAGAGCACCGTCCTCGGGACTCCAGCGCCACGAATCAACCTGACTGATGCGTCTTGTTGAGGTTTCAACACCGCGAATCAACGTAAGCATTGCGCCATATGAAATCCTGCATCGCTCCAAAACGTAGTTTTTAGTACGTTGACCATGGGAACCCGTGGAACTCTTGCAACCGTTTAGGGCGAATGCGCGCAGCGTGTAGGCGAGAGCAACATTTGGGAATGGACTCTTCCTCAATCCGTGAAGCTCTTGCAGTGTATTGAGACGACTGTGCGCGGCGCGAAGGCGAGAGCCACATTCTGAAAACGACCCGCCCTCAACCCGTGAAACTCGTGACTGTTTAAGAAGAGGGTGCTCGTCGCGAAGGCGATAGCCACATATTGTAAACGACACGCCCTCAATCCGTGAAGCTCCTTTGCAATTTTTAAACCGAGTGAGCGCGGCACTAAGGCGAGAGCAACATTTTCAACACCGCCCGCCTTCAATCCGTGAAAGTCTTGCAAATTTCTGAGGCGAGTGCGCGCGGCGCTAAGACGAGAGCCACATTTTGAAAACCGCCCGCCCTCCATCTGTGACACTCTTGTCAGTTTTCAAGCGTCAGGATCGTAAGTGGTAAGGAAATGCCTGGCGAAACGCCCGGCCCGCTCTTCCATTGGCCTCGCGGTGCGACAGAGAGGAGGTTCTTTTAAGCCACAGGATTGGAGGTGGAGGCCGAGGCGGGAGAGGGCGGGGGAGGAGGCCGCCGCCCCGACGCAGGAGCAGGCGCGGGAGTTCCAGAAGTCCCTCCGGCGGCGCTGACGGAGCGCCCGCGCTCGCGTTCGCTACCCCCGCCTTCCCCTCCCCCCTCCTCCCCCTCGTCCCCCTCCTCTTCCTCCTCCTTCTCCTCCTCCTCCTCCTCATCATGGTCCTCCTCCTCCTCTTCCCCCAGTGCCTTCTTGGCTCAATCGTCTTGCCGCTCGAACGCGCCCCCCCGCGGCGGCGCGCTCGCCAGGACGATGCCTGGTACGATCAACCCGGAGCCTGATGGCGAGGCGGCGGCGCCGCTCCCGTCCTGCGCTTGCTGCCGACCCTCCTGGTGCAGATGCGGGTCTCCCTCCTGCTGCCCCTGATGCTCCTAGCAACGATGAGCTCGACGATGCCTTTGCTGACGATCTCCCAGTGCGCCAGTGCCGTGGCGATGCTGGTGCAACTGTGTATGTTGCTCCCGCGGGTAGCGGCACGGCCCCAGCTGACGCGGAGCCCATGGAGGCGGTGCTCAAGGAGGCGGCGCGGCCTGCGGCGGTTGCGGCGGCGGTGGAGCCAGCGGTGCCTGGGCGAGCCGCTGCAGCTGCGCCTGCTCCTGCGCTTGAGGTCTTTCGGGCTTGGAAGGCGGGCGAGTGCGTCCGCATCATGACAAGCAAGCACGCTGGGCGTGCGGGCGGCGTCTCTCCCGCTCGGCCTCGTCGTCTTCGGGCTCTCCTGAGGGATGCCGCGCCCTGGACGCCATGGCGGCGCTGGGGAATATCGCCGCATCGGCGTTGCTTTGATTTTCCTTATTATTTCTCTCAGCTTTATCATTCGTATCATTGTTATTCTGATTACTCTTATTACATTGTTAGTACTGTTATTCTTATTGGTCTTCTTTTTTGCTATTCTTATCATTTCTCCTCTTCTCCCTCCCGTCTTGCTCTTCCTCCTCTTCCTCCTCCTCCTCTTCCCCCTTCCCCGCCATGTTATTCGTTGTCTCTTCCCCCATCCCCCTCCGCCTCTTCCTCATCCTCCTCCTTCTCTTCCTCCTTCCCCGCCTCCCCTCCTTCCTTCTCCCATCCCCCTTCGCCTCTTCCTCCTTTTCCGACTCCCTTCTTCCCTCCTTCCCCTCTTCTTTCCCTCCTCCCGTCGCGTTGATCCGACGTCGTGCGAGACAGCCTCCGAGTCACGTCAAGGTACCGAAGAGCCGCTGAGCTGCCTGACCAGCTTCCTCAACGCTGCCGGTCCAGCTGATCATAGTCGAGAATCTGAGGTGTTTGAGCTGCAGCCTCCCGTTGCGTCCGCTCGTGTTCCACCCGTGCCTTCCTCCTCGCCTTGGCCACAGGCGAGGAGACGCGCGCTCTCGCCGACGCTCGATCTCTCCTCCCGTCGCGCGCACGAGCCGCACCGTTTTATAGGTTGCTCTCTTCCGTTCATCTCCCGCTCACCGTCCCCCCGCTCTCTCGTTCCTGGCGCGTCAGTGTCGGCCTGGGTGCGTCACTTCGACCACGCTCGAACGGCAGGCTTCCGACGTGCGTGGTGCTTTCGATGTGTCCTGACCCTGTGCAGACAGTGTATGGCCCCACGCTTTCCCCTCAACCTCCGTCCCTCCCTCCTCCTAAGTTGTTTCCCCCTCCCCTTCCTCACCTACCTCTCCTGATAAACCTCCCTCCCCCCTCCCCTCCCCCCCCTAATCGCCCCCCCTGTCCTCCTCCAGCCCTCTCCTCCCTTCTCCTTCATTTTCCCTCTCCCCCACGCTCTCTCTCTCTCTCTCTCTCTCTCTCTCTCTCTCATTCACCCACCTTTTACAATCACACGTTATGCATACTACTCATTTCTCTCACCCGACTCTGTCCAGAAGATGTCTGGCTCTTTCCGCGGATCATGTTATTTTGGCAACAGGATCCGAACATTGTGTCTTCTGGTTTCCGATTGTTATCGGTGTTTCAAGTTGGAGTTCCTGCTGTAGCGTGGGTCTCATTTTTGGATCGCGCATTTGCTTCCGTCGTTCAGGAAGGCGTTCTCGCCCCAGCGAGAGTCAACTTTCTGGATCCGAGCCCTTTTTCATCGTTGTCGCCCGTCTCGTTTTCCACCGCCATCCCCTGGTCCTGCTCCTCCAGATCCTTCCACTCTAGGTCTTGCTGCTGCTGTTTGTCCTCGTCTTCCTCCTTCCTCCTCCTTTTCCCCTGCTCATCCTCTCGATCATCCGGCACCCCCTCCTCCAATGTACGCAGCTTCCGTTTCCCCGATCGCCCATGTCAGCATGAGGTCTTCTTTGGAGTTCCAGGTCCGCTATGACACGCGTCAGCGGATACGTAGAGAAAAACCAGCGCAATGGGAAGGGATGGGTGGGAGGGGTAGGATGTCAGATATGGTGCGAGCGCACCTAGCTTGCCACTCTCCTTCTCTCTCTTTCCCTGCCTCTCCTGCCTCCATCGACATCCCCTCCCCGCCCGCCCCCTTCCTGATCGTTACCCTTTTCCCCTTGCACTCAGCCTCCTCCTCCTCCTCCTCCTCCTCGAACTCCTCCCTCCCCCCACTCCGTCACCTTCTTCCCGCCTCCTACTCCTTTCGTTTCTGAATCCGTTATCCGTCTATTGTTTCCCCTGTTTCTTCCATGGCCCCATTCACCTCACATTCCATGGTTCTCGCCAGCTTCTTGGGCGCTTCTTGTCCACAGCTCTGAAACTGTATGATAAGTCTACTCTGGCGTGCGTTTGTATTACTGCACCTGCGCGGTAGTCGCTCAGTCGTGGATGAGTCCAGATGCGTGCCTCAATCACTATGCAACCACAGTGTTCGGTATTATGCCCATAGCGACGTGGGTCCGCAACTGTTGCTGGTAAGGTGCCCAGTGTCGCGCGCACGAATCGCCCGCTGCCACGCTGGTGCGACTGCCGCTCGCGTCGGTAGCCCCTGATGCTCACGAAAAAATGCCGTTGGTCGGTTGATGGACCATCCCAGGTTTGAGACAACGAGACGTTCCCAGCTCCCTTGACGAGACCACGCTTTCACTATCCGAAGGTTCCTCAGGAGGCGGCGCACCGCGAGTCGCCGCGTTTGTTGATGGCCCCAGGGCCCAGCGAGAGCTTCGGTGTTGGCTTTCAGTGCGCGGTGGTGGTCTGGGTCCTCGTCGTCGTCCTTCTCTCCCCGCCCCTTTCTCCTGCTTACCCCCCCTGCCCCCCCCCCTTCCCCCGCCGCCGCGCCGGGCTGCTCGCGCCCGGGACGCGCCGGGCCAGCGCTGTGGCCTCCAGGCGGCGGCCAGCGCACAGACTTCACGCGGCCCTTCTGGTCAGTGGAGAAACAGGAGGGAGGGGCAAGGGAGGGAAAGTTGAGTTGCGGCTCGTTGGATGCGAGTCCGCTTGCCCAAAATCAGGACGGATAGCTACCTTGAATTGCAGCTTCTTGCTACCAACTCTGCTCCCTCGAATTCCCGTCTGGGTCCACTTCCGGACACCCTGGAATTCCTGGGCCAACCTCTATCGCAATTCGTCTTCGTTCGATGCACGTACCAGAGCGTGAAGCACGCGTGAAGCACGCACCCGACTGGCGCATTAGCAGTGTGGCCGAGCGCCGACTCCGTAACAGTTGCCACGTTGTTAAGATATGTATTGAGGGGGGGGGGTGAGGGAGTGAGGCAGGAGGGAGGAAGGAGACGGGAAGAGAGAGAAGGACGGGGGGAGCAGGGCAGAGGGAGGAGGGAGGGAGGGAGGCAGGGAGGGAGCCAGGGAGGGCCTGCGTGTCGCCAACATTGCTTTTCTGATGCATCATTGCTTATTGTTACATGCCAGTTGTTTGTATTCAAGTCCATGCATCTCCTGGCAAAGCCGCGGAAGCGCTGTCGCGCTCGACAGATCACGGGAACGCGAAACACTCAGGCCCTGCAATCGAGGTGCTTTCTTTTGGTGCGACAACGATGATGTCTGACCGCCGCGGCGCTGACCACCCAGCCCCCGGGAAGCCGAACCTAGTTCGATTTGGTGCCATGTCCTGCGCTGTCCCTCCCAGTGCGCCCGCAGGCATTGCTGCCGCCGCTGCTCCTCCTGCCCCTCATGCTTGATACTCCTGATGATCCTTCTGCTCATGGTCCTGCCTGCGCCTTTGTGCCCACTTCTGCTCATGTTCCCGCTCGGGCTCTCGCTCGCGCTGCTGCTCGCATCTGTCAATGTCGCTGTTGCTCGTGCCAAAGGTGTTGCGCCTGGTTGTCCTCTGTTTCTTCTCATTCCTCCTCCTCCTCCTCGTTCTCCTCCTCCTCCCCCTCCTAGCTCTCATTATCCCGCTCCTCCACCCTCCTCATTATCCTTGCTTCCCTCACGTCTACTACTACTACTACTACTACTACTACTACTACTACTACTACTACTACTACTACTACTACTACTACTACGACTACGACTACGACTACGACTACGACTACGACTACTACTACTACTACTACTACTACTACTACTACCACTACTACTACTACTACTTTTACTACTACTACTACTACTACTACTACTACTACTACTATTACTACTACTACTACTACTACTACTACTACTACTCCTACTCCTACTCCTACTCCTACTGCTGCTATGACCTTGGGTCGTGCTATTCATCGTCGTTCCAATCAAACGTTTTTTGGTGCTACTACTACTATTCCTACTGCTGCTATGACCTTGGGTTGTGCTATTCCTCGTCGTTCCACTCAAACGTTTTTTGTTGCTTCTCTCCCTGCTGCTACTACTACTACTACTACTACTAATACTACTACTACGACTACGACTACGACTACTACTATTATTTCTACTACTACTACTACTACTACTACTACTACTACTACTACTACTACTTCTTACTACTACTACTACTACTACTACTACTACTACTACTACTACTACTACTACTACTACTACTACTACGACGACGACGACGACGACGACGACGACGACGACGACGACGACGACGACGACGACGACGACGACGACGACGACGACGACTACGACTACTACTACTACTACTACTACTACTACTCCTGCTGCTGCTGCTGCTGCTGCTGCTGCTTGTGCTGCTGCTGCTGCTACTACTCTTACTGCTGCTATGACGATGGGTTGTGCTATTCCTGTTCGTTAATATCAAACGTGTTGTCGTGCTTCTCTCTCTCTCTCTCTCTGTCTTCCCCCCCCCCCATTCCGCGGGCGCTGCGCGGCACGCGGAGGCTGTCTGAGGCTCACGCCCCCGCGGCCCTCCCCCCAGGAGGGGAGCGGGCCCGGAGGCCGAGGGCGCCCCCGCCTGGGCGCTCCTCCTCCATGCCGCCCGATGGATCTGTCGCTGGCGAAGCGGGTACCTGTCGGTCGTTGAAAAGGGGTGGTTCTGGATTCCCAGATTCCCTCCACAGGGGGAATATTCAGAAATAGTCGAACAATTCTCGGGGGGCTATTGTATGTGTATGTTTGAATATTTGTTGGGTATTGGTTTGACTATCTTTAATTTTTCGTCCGAAATCCGCTTGTAGGAGGAGGACACGCCCGACCTAATCGCTCGGCATCGCTCGGACGTGTGTATTTTTTCTCTCGGCGAGGGCCATCGAGGAGCAGACTGGGCCATTTTGCGAAACAAGCCACGCACGAGACCGAGAAATGCACGGGGAATGGACGTCCGAGCGATGGCAGGTCAGTCGCCCTCTCACGTCAATGATCGAGTGGCTTCCCCTCTTCCCGCCTCTTCATGGGGCGGGCGGAGACCCAATCTGTTCCCAACGCCTTCCTACTTAGTGTTTCTGTTTGCTTCTTCCAGCCGATGGGTACGTATCCGTATCCGCGGCCTCGCGAGCCGGGCCCCCGGGGCCGCGACCCCGCAGATGCGGGGCGTTTTTTCGCGGAATGTCTCACGCGGAACGTATCTGTGCGACCGCGTATCCGCGGGATTGCGCCCCGGATTCGAGACCACGAGGGCGCAGATGCGGACATGTTCGCCGCTCAGGAGGAAAGGATTGTCCTAGCCCAGGAAGGCACTATCCCTCTCCTGGTCTTCCCTCCTGCTCCATTCCTTTTCCTTACACGCAATTTCTCCCAGACCCACCCCGAGGCCATTTATGATTCTAAACTTTCAAGTGGCAAGAGTTTCACAAATGGAGGGCGGGTCGTGTTCAAGATGTGGCTCTCGCCTTAGCGCCGCGCACATTCGTTTTAAACAATCGCAAGAGCTTCACGGATTGACGACGGGTCGTTTTCAAAATGCGGTTCTCGCTTTAGCACCGCGTACATTCGTTTTAGAAAGTTGCAGGAATTTCGCGGATTGAGGGCGTTTTTTTTTTTTTTTTTTTGTTCAAAATGTGGGTCTCGCTTTAGCGCCGCGCACATTCGTTTTGACCGTTTGCAAGAGCTTCACGGATTGAGTGCTGTTATTGTTCAGCATGTGGTTCTCGCTTTAGCGCCGCGCACATTCGTTTCAACAACTTGCAAAAGCTTCACGGATTCAGGGCGGTTTCTTTTCAAAATGTGGGTTTTCGCTTTTGCGCCGCGCAGATTCGTTTTAAACATGTAGGGTTCCGCGGGTTCCCATGACCAACGTACCAGAAACAGTGTTTTGGAAGGGTCCAGGATTATGCGGGTGCAACAGGTATGTTGGCTCGTGGTGTTGCAGTCCCAAGGGTGGCGTTCTGGCACGATTCCGGATCGCCAAAACGCCGTAGTCAGGTTGATCCGTGTCGTTGAAATCCCGAGAATAATGTTTTGGCATGATTCAGGATCTTCAAACAGATGTCTTCCAACGAGGCAGTTCCTTCAATGGAACTGAACAGTTGTAGGGGCGTATGAAGAGGGAGTTTGGAGGGAGGGTTACTCGGTTAATCCAAACATCGTTGATGACTCTTAGGTTTACACTGGTCGTCGTCCTCCTCCTCCTCGCGTCCTCTTCATCCTCCGCTCGTCCTCGTTATCCTCCTTGTCCTCCTCTTCCTCCTCCTCTTCTTCCTTCTCCTCCTCTTCTTCCTTGCGTATTGTTGCATCGCTATGCATTGCTTTGCATTGCACTTCATTGCTTTGTTTTGCTTTTGTCATGCTCTGTAATGCTTCGCATTGCCTTGCATTGTGTTGCATTGCTCCGCATTAGTTTGCCTTGTGTTGTCTTGTTGTGCATTGTGTTGCATTGCGTTGCATTGCTTAGCCTTGCTTTGCATTGCGTTGCACTGCTTTGCGCTGTTTTGCATCGCCCTGCATCCAACATTGGTTTGCATGGCATTCCATGTTTGCACTGCCTTCCAGTTAGATGGCACCACATCGATTGCACCACCCAGATTGCGCGGCATTGATTGTTTCACCTAGATTGCAACCCATAGACTGCAAGAAATCATTGTTTGAGGCCCACGCTGTCCAACATGTGGTTCTCGCCTTAGCGCCGCGCATACTCGTTCCAAACATTGTAAGGGTTTCATTGAATCTGATGGTGAGCGTGCCAGGAATGGTGTTTAGGAGCCGTTCAGGATTGTCAGGGCGCAGCAGTGTCTTTGATGTGCGATGTGCGATGTTGAAGTCGCAGGAATGGCGGTCTGGCACGATTCAGGATCGTCAAGCCGCACCAGTCAGGTTGATTCGTAGCGTTGAAATCTTGAGCATAGTGTGTTGGCACGCTTCAGGATTTTCAAGGTGTTCCTCCAACGGGGCATTTCCCTCAGTGCAAATGATTCTTTGGAGGGGCCTATGAAGAGGGAGATTGGAGGGAGTGTGTGTTTCCAAGCTCGTTGGTGAGTCTTGGGTTCACGTTGGTCCTCCTCTTCCTCCTCCTCCTCCTCCTCCTCCGATTTGTGTGCGTATGTGTATGTATGTGTTCAGGTGTATATGTGTGCATTCGTGTATTCCTATTTATATATTTTTACAGGGCCGGGGACCCCGGAAAAGCGTCACACGGTGCCCACCCCCCACCCCCCCAAACGAATTTCGGCCTCCCCGAGCTTTTGGGGCGCTCCTGCAGAGTGCTCCGTGTCTGTCCTGCGAGTGCGACGCGAAAATAAAAGCCCCCACGACGGCCAAAGAGGGCCCCGACACACCCAAAGATCGGCCCAAGACGCCCAATCTGGGCCCAAGACTGCCCAAGACGCGTCCAAGACGCCCCCAGAGACCCCCAAGAGGCCTCCCAAGAGAGCCCCGAGAGGCTACAATTGTTGATTTTCCTGTGTGTTTTTCTATGTTTTTGGCCTTCTCGCTTTTCCCGCTTCCCGACGCTCTACAATGGCCCAAGAGGCTCCCTAGATCGCCCCAGTGCTGCCCAAGAGGCCCCCAAGAAGGCCCCAACACGGTCCAGGAGGGCTCCGAGACCGCCCAAGAGGCGCTCAAGACGGCCCAAGAGAGCACCAAAACGGCCCCAAGAAAGACCCAAGAGGGCGCCCAAAAATTCAAAAACTAAATTTTCCGCCGCGAGAGGGCCCCAAGATGCCCGGAGAGAGCCCCATGAGGCCCCAAGGGGCTCCCAAGAGGCCCCAAGGAACCCCCAAGAGGCGCTTAAGAGGCCCCAAAAAGATCCCAAGAACCCAAAAACACCCCCAAGAGGCTTCAAAACTGCCTCCCAGAGGGCCCCGAGAGGCGCACCACGAGATCCCAACACAGCGGTCTCCCCCTCTCATTATCCCTTCTCTTTGTCCTCACCTTTTTCGTCGTCGTCGTTGTCGTATCAAAACCACCGAAGGACCCAAGAGCTCCTCCTCCTCTGCCTCATTCTCTTCCTCCTCTACCTCCTCCTCCTCCTTCTCCTAATGCCCCGTGATGTTTCACGTTCCGCCCCGCCAAAGGTCTAGCAAAAACAGTTTTCCTCATTCTTCCAAGTCTCTGCTGCGGATTTCTCCCGCGACACCTCAACTGCGCCCCAGATATCCACATAATCTGTCCTCTGCATCCTCTTCCTCCTCTTCATCCTCCTCCTCTTCCTCCTCCTCCTTCTCCTCATCCTCTTCATGTTCCTCCTCCCGCCTCGACTGAGCTTCTCGTAACACTCCATGCAAACCGTCGGGGCCACGACACCATCTCATCCGGACGCGCTGTTGGGTTCTCTCACCCTTTGCCGCTTGATTCGCAGAGAGGCCGAGCGTCACCGCGCCGCGCCGCCAGGGATGGGGAGAATGGACAGAAAAAGAAGCGGAGAGGGGGGAGAAGAGAAGGAGGAGGGACAGGAGGAGGAGGAGGAGGGGGAGGGGGAGGAGGAGGAAAGGAAAGGAAAGGAAGGGAAAGGACAAGGGGAAGGAGGAAGAGGAGATAACGGAAAGTAGTCTAATCCGTTTCGCCAGAGATATGCTCGCAACTCCGACCTCAGAATCGCCTTGCTTCGCATCGGTCCCGCCGTTTTCGCTTGAGACATCATCGCAGCTCTGGGCCCGAGACGCTCTCAGTTGTTGTGTTCCAGCCACTGTCGCCAGAGACACTCTCGCAAGTCTCACTTCGGAGGTGCCTTGCACCATGGTGGTTCGGGCACTTTCGCGTGCGACTTCTCGCAACTCTAAGTTCAACGATGCCCTGAGCGGAGGTGTTCAGACCGCTCCCCGCTTGAAACTTCCTCGCGCGGCTGACTTCGGATATGCCCTCCCCTGAGCGGAGGTGTTCAGGCCATTTTCACCGGGGACGTCCTCGCAACGCTGCCTCGGCGACGCACTGTCCCACGGTAGTCTGACCACGTTTTCCCGAGACCCTCGCGCCTTTTAGTGGCGCGATGATATGAGCAATTGGTCAGGCCACCACCGCCTGATATACGCATGTGTATGCGCACACATAGTTACACTGAGACGTTGCATATACATGTACATATCCATACAAACGTATATATATATATATATATATATATATATGCATATACATGTACATATGTAGTATGCGTTCATGGGCGCATGTGTGTGGGAACGTACGCAAGCTCGCACTCAGCAAGCGTGGGAATTCCAAAGGACCAAGGTGCATGGCGCCTAGCGCCGATGCAGTCTTCTGTATATATATATATATATATATGTATACGCATGTATGTATACACATCTATATGTGTGCATGTGCCTTTCGACGCGTACGTGAATGCAGGTGTTTACGCATGTGTGTGTGGGCCAGTGTATGATTCTGCGTACTGGTATGTCTAGATGTTTGTGTCTTCGCGTGTGTCTATTACATGCATTGGTATATCTTTGTGTATACACACGCACTGGTATGCCTTGCGGGCTGCGGGAGGTGGGCCTGGTCGGAGCCCCTGGCAGTCTCCGGGGCCGCTCCCCGCGCGCGCGCTCGCCGGGATGGCGCCCGCCCCCTCCCCGGGCCTGGACTCTCGCGGCGGCGCTGGCGCCAGGCTCGAGCCGTCGTGCGGAGCGGGGATGGGGAGGCTGGCAGCCTGGCAGCGGCTGGCAGCTCTGGACGCCCGAAATGGGTGCGGAGAAAATGAGTACAATGCCCAGCAGCAGCTCCTGTCCACTTTGAACAGGACTCGCTGTCCGCGCCGCCGCAGCCTGTGTCCATTCGAGACAGAGGGCCGCCTGCCCAACAGCGGCCGCTGTTGGTTTGGGACAACACTTGGTGTTGGGCATTGTACCCATTCTTTTCGTACCCATTTCGGGCGTCCAAAGCAGCGGCTAGCGGATACAAAACTCTGGCCTGCGCCCTTGGCAGGCTCGACCTCATTGTTTCCCCGCGGCTGGGCGCGCTCAATCGCCTCAGACGGGAAAGCGAGGAAGCGAGGGAGGCCCCCAGCCAATTACAGCCATCCCGCCTCCGTATTTCGGTCGCGGACCAGAGGCCACTGAGAGGCTCTTGAGGACTTCACTCGGGAGGCCTTTCTGGTGGCCTCGTGGGGACCTTTTTGGTGCCTTTTGGCAGCCTCTCGGAAGCTTCTCGGGGCCTCTTAGAGGTTTCCGGGGCCTCTCGGGGACTTCGTGGGAAAGGAGGGCAGGGGAGGCCCTCAGGGGCAACGTCAGGGGGCGATTGACTCGGGGGGGGGCATCGACCCTCTATCGCGCATCGATGGCCGATACGAGCCCGATGGCCCAACCCGCCAAAAAGCGCTCGCCCTTGGTATCGGGAAGATGTCGACAATTGTTCGGTGATGCATCCCCGATTCCCGGTCGATGTTTCCCCGCTGCGCAGGACCACTTTGTCGTTGCCCATCGTACGATCCCATCATTCGTTTCCCGTTTCCAGCAACCAGAGCCCGGTTTTGAGCTTCAGGATGGTGATGTTCGTGCCCCAGTCGGCTTTCACTTTGGGCTGCGTACAGCGCTGCAGAAACTGCTTCGACACACTGGCACTGGGGAATCCGATTCGAAGGGAGGAGGATCGAGGGACCCACGTTGTTGAATCTTGTCTAGCCCCTGGGGGCCGAGAAAGCCAGGCGAGCCCGAGCACCTTCGAGATCGTAAGTTTCAGTTTCAGTTAGTTTGAAACCGTCGAATACGCAATATCCGTGACTCCATAACTCCAGGGGGGCTCCAGGGGCGTCTGTGGACTTCACGGTACACCTCTCGGGAAGTCCGGGGGCTCCAGGAAAGGAGGAGGGGCTCCTGAGCTCCTCGTTGGGCCCGATATGCGTCTCAGTCGCAAGAATACCTACTTGGGATCGACTACATCCAGCGGCCGAGCGGGCTCAATTGCCACCGCTCTGCTGCAGCTGAGCCAGTTCGGCTGCCCATGTGGCGGCCGACTTGACGCATTGTTAAACCTCGCAGAGTGCCTCCTGTACAGCTTCCTGGAGGCTCCTGGGGCTTCCGCATGGCTTCCCGCGGGTGGCCCAGAGGTCACATGTCTTGATCTGTTCACAGCGTGGGCCCTTGGAGATCCAGACTTTTTCCCCGGGACCTGCCTTTCATTCGGAACCGTTCTTGATGGCCCCAGGGCCCGGGGGGGGCCCTTGGAGGCAGAAGACGACAAGCGCAGATCCCGTCGTGACTTCTCCTGGCACCGCTCGGACGTGTGCCTTTTCTTTCTCGGCGAGAGAACCATCGAGGACCACCCTGGGCCATCGTGCGAAACAAAACACACGCACGAGACCGACAGATGCACGGGAAATGGACGTCCGAGCGACGGCAAGTTTTTCGCGGCGCGAGAATTGCCAGCCTGGAACATATCCCTATCCCTATGCTGGGCACCTCCTCATCACGATGCCAATCTTAGGGATTCCCTTAGTTTTCCAGGGCGCCTCCCTAAGATTGTCATCGCCTCTTGGCGTGTCAATCTTAGGGATAGGGATACGTCCGAGGCTGCTAAGAGAAGGCGCCACGGCGAACGGGGGTGGGGATGGCTCGGCCGGCGCGAGCGGAGGCGCTCCTGCAGGAGGGGGCCCGCGCACGGGGCCGCGCGCGAGGAGCCGCGCGCTCGGCCCGCGAGGCGCGGAGCCGCTCCGAAGGGCCCGCCGCCCCCCTTGCGCTGCAGAGGCGGGCCTCCGCCGATGCGATTGCTGCTCCGGCGCGCGGCCCCCATCCCAGACAGCCAGCGCCGCGGACAAGATCGAGACGGAAGTGCTTCAGTGCGTCTTGGCCTCTCGGGGCCCTCACCGGGCCCCGGGGCCGTCCAGAAGCGGCTAGCCGGGGCGCGAGGCTGCAGCCGGGCCTGTCCCTCTGCAGGGGGGAATCTGCAAGATGCTTTAAACACTTGTCTGGGTATTATTGTTTGAGTATTTTTGTGCATCTTTGAGCATTTTTTGCATATGTCTTATTTGTCGTCCAAGATCCCCCCCGTAGGGGGACAGGCCCGACCCAAAGCGAGGCACGCGGAGGGGGCGGACGCGGGGAGCCGGGAGGAGTTGTTCGTGTGGGTGTGTTCGGGCGTTGCCAGAATTGCCCCCCTGGCCCACGAGGCCCCCAGGGGTTTCCAAGGAGGCCCCCCGTCATCGCGATTGTCACTTCGTCCATGGATTGGACGTGCAGTGAGCGGCTTGAATAAGGAACGCTTTCTTTTCAAAAGGGGCTCGGTCGTTCCTTAGGCTTGCATGCGTTATTTATCGCTCCCTACGCGTTATGTATTATTTGTTCGTCGTTCCCGATGCGTTATTCCTCGGAAGAAAGGGGCTTCGTTCCTTATTTATCGTTCCTTAGGTCAGGCCGATGACTGTACGTGTAAACCCATCGCGTATATGCATGACCGTCGTCACCGTAGAGCAGACGCCAACAGCTGGGGGAACCCTCCGTTGTATCCGCTCATTCTAGCGCTTGCAGTCCTCGATCAGGCTATTACAGCCCTCTGTGAATAAGAAAAGAAAGATCTCCAGGGAGGCCCCCACGGCATCCGGAGAGCCCCTCCCGAGGACCAGAGGGCCCCGGGTGCTCGAGAGTGGAGCGAAGAACTGGGGGGACCCTGGGCCAGGGGCACCTCCAGCAGCCTCCGATGTGTGGTCGATCGAGTGGGTCCTCTCGGGGTCCGTCCGCGTGCGCTCTCTCTCTCTCTCTCTCGCTGGGGGATTGTCTCGGCCTCGTCGCCGTGGCTTCGCAGCAGCTGCAGCAGCGGAGGAGCAGCGCCAGCCTTGGCAGCAGCCTCCTCGCGGTCGGCCGTCGCTTTGTCGATGCGTGGGCCAGGCGGAGAATGGGGAAGGAGCAGGAGAAGCGACGCGGAGGAGGGAAGAGGAGGAGGAGGAGGAGGAGGAGGAGGAGGAGGAGGAGGAGGAGGAGGAGGAGGAGGAGGAGGGAGGGGAGGAGGAGGCGAGGAGGAGGCGGGAGGAGGCGGAATGAGGGAGGAGAACGAGGAGGAGGAGGAGGAGGAAGTGAGGAGGGAGGAACAGGCAGGGAGGAATGGAGGATGATGAGGATGATGAGGATGATGAGGATGAGGATGAGGATGAGGATGAGGATGAGGATGAGGATGATGATGATGATGATGATGATGATGATGATGAGGAGGAGGAGGAGGAGGAGGAGGAGGAGGAGGAGGAGGAGGAGGGAGGCGGGAGGAGGGAGGCGGGAGGAGGGAGGCGGGAGGCGGGAGGAGGGAAGAGGACGAGGAGGGAGGAGGACGAGGAGTGAGAAGGAGGAGGAGAAGGAGGAAGAAGAGGGCTAGTGTAAACCCAGGGCGCGTCATCGATTTTGCAATAAACCCTCCCTGGAAGTTCCTTCTTCACAGGCCCTGCAAGGGTTTATTTTTATTGAAAGGAGGGCCCCGTTGAAAGACAACCGATGGAAAATCCAGAACTGTGCCAGAACACCATTCCTGCGACTCCAACGCCGCGAATTACCATTACTGTTGCGCCTTGGCGATCCTGAAACGTGCCAGATCATTAGTCCTGGGAGTTCATCGCCGCGAGTCAAAGCGACTGTTGCGCCCTGACATTCAGATTCCCTGCCAATCACCATTCCGGGGAAGTTGACCATGATGTTATTTGGCAGTGTGGTAAATTCTCAAGACGAATGTGCGTCGCGCCAAGGCGATAGCCACATGTTGAAAAGGAGCCGCCCTCCACGCGTGGAACTTTTGCTGACTTTGACCAATGTGCGCGGCGCTAAGGCGATAGCCGCATTCTGAAAACGGACCGCCCTCCACCCATGAACATGTTGCAACTTTGTAAGACGAGTGTGCGCGGCGATCAGGCGAGAGCTACATTCTAAAAACGACCTGCCGTGCATCCGTAAAACGCATGCGTCTGTTTAAGACGAGTGTGCGCGGCGCCGAGGCGAGAGCTACATTTTGAGAACCACCCGCCTTCCATCCGCGAAACGATTGCAAATTGTAAATTTCAGGATCTTGCATGGAAAGGAAGCCTCAGGCGAAACGCCCATCCCGCTCTTTCGACCGGCGGGAGGAGGAGGGAGGGAGACCAGGCCGAAAGGTCCTGCGCTTCGCGCCTTGCACGGCGGGATGTGAGAGGTCGGGAAGCCCCTTTGGTTGCCGGCCGGCCCTCGCGAGGCCGCGCGGCGCGGCTGGCGCGGCCACCCGGCAGCTGCCTTCGGCGTTGGAGGAGGGTTGTGTGCGTGAACGTGTGCAGTGCGTGTGCGTGTGCGTGTGGCGGATGCAGTTTCCAGCGACAGCGAGTCATTCACACCAGCATCTCTACCATTTCGCCATGCTCATACATCCTCTTGCTCCCCCTGTCCCTGTTCATGCTGCGGGTGTTGCTGCTCCTGCCGATGTTGATGCCGCTGGCTGTGCTGTGACGTTGCTGTTACCAGTGTGACCAGTGATCGTCGTCTCCCCCTTTTCTTCCTACTCTTCGTCATCCTCCTTCCGTCTCATCCTCTTCATCTTCCTGCATGTTCTACTCCTCGCCACCATTCCCCTCTTGCTGTCTATCTTCCACGTCCGCTACCCTATTATCCTCCTTCTCTGACTTCTGGTCGCAATCCTCACCCTCATCGTCTTCCTCTTTTTCCTCCACCTCATCATCCTTCTCTATAGTTCTTCTCCATATCGTCGTCGTCCTCCTCTTCAACCTCGTCGACGTCGTCGTCCTCGTCGTCATCTTCCTCCTTCTCTTTCCAATTTCTCATCATTGCCCTGCTCACCATCCTCTCCCCCCATCCTCCATCTCCTCTCCTCTCCCCCTCCTGCGCCTCCTCTTCCAAATCTTGCGTCGGCTCAAGCTTGCGGCTCAGGCGTGTGTCTTCCAGGAGGGACAGGATTTTGGCCCGCTGAGCGCCCCAAGTGTCAAGCGAGCAGGGGCCACAGGCACGGCAGTAACTCAGACATCCTCGTTAGAGGCAAGGAGGAGGCATAGGAGTAACGAGGGAGGATCTTATAGAGTAGGGCAGACTTAGCACACCACTGATGTCGCAGCCCCCCCCGTCCCAGAGTCCCCTCCTCCGACCCGCAGGTTTTCGGCTTCCCCGAGGCCCAAGGCACGCACCCGCTGGGGTGGTAGGGGTCCCATGGGCCTGCCACCAGTTCAGAATACGGAGGGCTGGCATGCGTGATATTGTTAAGGCCACGCCGCAGCCTCAGGACGTGGCAGAGCTGGAAGGGTCAGGGCCCGATGCCCCTGCCACAGTGAATGGATGACCACGGTTACTCCATCCCCCCCCAATGCTAACGGGATCGATCCCCCCCTCGCTGGGTGGGTACGCCCGTGAGCCTCGCGAAGTCCCCGCTTATGTGACCGCTCTGCTGGGACCGCCCCCCCCGGTGGTCGTGTTCTTGCGGGCGTTGCGTGGTGGAGGGGGGTGCTGGTGCCCCGGCCCCTCCCTCTGTGGGTGTGGGGTGGTGCTGCGGTGCTGCGGTGCCGCCATCGTCGTCGTCGTCGCCGTCGCCGTTGTTATCACCGTCGCTGTCGTCGTCGTTCTGGTCGCTCTTCCCTGTCGCCGTCGTCGCCTTCGCCGCCGCCGCCGTCGTCGTCATCGTCGTCGTCGTCGTCGACGTCGACGTCGCCGGCGAAGCTGTGAACCCTCGACCCGGGATCATAGATAGCCAAAGGGAGGATGGCAGTTTTGAGCGTCCTGCAGCTCTGCGTGCAACGCGAAATTACGCGAAATTGAGATCCTGCTGATATTCGAAAGCGCAATACGCCAACACCAGTTCTGTGAGAAGGAGCATCCCTGCCCCCTAGAATTAGTGGAGGTGTCAATTCATTATGTCTGAGGCGTCACGGCGAGACACGAGTTCCACCAGCCAGGGGTGTCATTGCCATGGTGTTTGAGATGTGCCCGATCCTAGGAAAGAGATGGAGAGAGAGGGAGAGGGAGAGAGAGAGAGAGAGAGGGAGAGGGAGGGGGCGAGGGAGAGCGAGGGAGGGGGATAGAGGGAGATGGGAGAGAGACTGGGAGATATCTGTATATATATATATATATATATACAGAGAGAGGGAGCGCGATCATGGAAGCTGCCCATCGTCCTAATTGTGAACACGTAGCTCGATCTGAGATTTGGCAATGCCTCTCTGCTCGCGTTCGCCGGTTACCGATGCCATGGCTCCAGGGATTGCTGCTGCTCTCGGCAGCTGTGGTGCCAGTGACGTCCTGGTCCTTCTGGAACCCCCCGGCAAATGACACGGCGCCCGCCGAGCCTGGCTCTGCAGGAGCGAAGTGTGCGGTGTACCCGATGTGCCTCGCCCAGCCCAACAAGACCATACCCGCAGACGGTTTCTGCTGCCCGACGTCGGCCGGGGCGCAGATGGACTGCTGCGCGGGCGGCGTGGTCCGGGAGCCGAACGCCACCATGTACAACGCCTCGACGGCCATGTGCGTCATCGACGTGATGCAGGCGGCGCAGATGCTCGGACGCGCGGGCACGTCCATGAACGCCGCGGTCAAGACCTGCGTCCAGGGGACGACCAACAAGAACAGAATCGCACGGTGCGCCTCGCCCGTGGGCAACGTCGTCAGCTCTTTCTCCTATGCTGCATCCTTCCTGTCGACCGCCGCCGCGGAGTGCGCCGAGAGCCTGCATATAAAGGACTTTATGGAGAACACCCTCGGCTGGTCTCCGGACTGGGTGGCATCCAAGGCGCAGTCGGCGGAGATGCAGGCGGCCTGCTCTGGCGCTGTGACCTCGTTCACGGCCGGACTGGCTCAGATCGCAGAGTCGGGGCCAGCCATGACGCAGTCGTGTGAGTGGATGAAGAAATTGCCGGGCATGTCATCGATCGCAGAAGCGTTCGCCGAGGAGGGCCCTACCTCGATCAACAGGCGGGCACAGGACGGCAGCGAAGCGTCGCCGCCGTCCGCGGAGAAGCCTGCAGCGAACGGGACATACCTAGGCTTCACTCCGACGGAGCTCAACCAGCAGCGGGAGGCGGAGTGCGCATTCGACATCGGGCAGTCGACGATGTTTCTGGCGCAGGCTGGCACGCAGATCAACTCTGCGGTGTACGACTGCAGCGACTACTCCCTCAAGGAGGGGGGGAAGCACGCCAAGGCTATGTGCTCGGTGGACACCGCGGGCGTCATCAGGTCGTTCGGCTTCGTCGCCAGTCTGATCTCGAGGAACAAGCAGTGACACAAACATCAACTATCGGAGACCCACGCGGATTCCTTGGATCGGCGCTGGAGCCCTCTGGCGTTGCGCGCGCCCAGAAGGGGGTCCAGCGCAAATCCAAAGAATCTGCGCGGACCTCCGAAAGCTTGTGTTTACGTCATGATGTGTTCCTCGATGATCTCGTTCGCGGTCACCAACTGCCCGGTCTTCCAGCTCAACCTGGACGCGGCGTGCTCCGGGGCAATCGCCGACATGGTCACGGGGATCTCGGGGCTCGCTGCGGCGGGCTCCGCGTTCCGCGACACGTGCGGCTTCATCGCGAACGCAACGATGGCGATGTTCGGCGGGCCCGGGGAGAAGGCCGAAGAGCGGCGCTTGCATGTCTGAGCGGCAGGGTTACTCCTCGTCCTCCCCCTCTTCCTCCTCGTCCTCCCATCGGCTCCATCCTGCTCATCCCCTCCTCCTCCTGCCCCCCCTTCCTGTCAAAGGCGAGGACGGGGGCACCGAGAGTCTCATGTTTTTTTTCCCAGTGCACGCGACAGCAATTTGTCCAGTCATGAGGCAGCTAACGCTCTGCCTCGAAGGCTGCAATCGGCAGGCCTCATCCCCGCCTGCCTGCGCAAACGACATCCGAGGAGCAAGCGTGGCGGCTCGAGAAACTGCCGGCTTCATACGCACTTTAAGCTTTCCAGGAACCTATTGAAGGCTTTGAGGGCTCGGGGGAGGCTTCTGGGGGTCGGATCTGTCTCGGACGTTTCTACTGGTCGTGGGGCGCCAGTTGTCTCGGGGGATCCGAGGGCCATCTCCAGGCGACGGGGCATCGGCAGTCTTTGGGCAAGCGGGAACCTACCCCAGGGAGTCCTGGTGGCTCTCGCCCACTGCCCAACCCCTGAGGCAGGCAGAACCAAGGAGTCTGACATGCGATTCCTGAGGTCAGAAGCTGGCCCTAACACATCGCATTTCTTAGGGGTGCCCTTCGTGAGGAGGAGGGCAGCATACGCTTGGAAATTCTATGAACGCTTCGTGTATCACCACCAGCCCATCCAGAAACGATGTGAAGATGAGTCGCCTTGATCAAGGACGTTTAGGAGCAACCAGTGGAACAACGATGGGGGTCAGCCGTCAAACCGAAGCTCGGGATCCGTGTGAGCAGACACAGGTGTCAGCTGTACATGCCTTCGCGGATCTTTCGATACGGGAATTTCTTGGAACCTTATTTGGACCATATTAGGACCCTATCGAGCCAACGTTATTCTCTTGCACAGGGTGTCTAGAGCTCCGACCACTTTATTTCGGTACGGCACCCTTTCCATCACCCACACATTCCACCAGCCAGCGCGCCCCTCCGCCCCGACCCCTTTTATTATTTCGGCACGGCACACCCCTCCGCCCCGACCCCTTTTATTTCGGCACGCACACCCCCTCCACCCCCTCGGCATCCCCCCCACCCACCAGCCAGCGCGCCCTCCGCCACGACTCCTTTTTCTTTCGGCACGGCACACCTATCTGCCCCGACCCCTTTTTTTATTTCGGCACGGCACACCCCCTCCGCATCCCCCCCACCCACCGCCCTTCCGCCCCGACCCCTTTCATTTCGGCACGGCACACCCCTCCGCAGCCAGCCGCCCCGACCCCCTTTTCCGCCCGACCTTCGGCACGGCACACCCCCGGCAGCCACGACCCTTCCTCCCCACGGCACACCCCCTCCGCATCCCCCCCACCCACCAGCCAGCGCGCCCCTCCGCCCCGACCCCTTTTATTTCGGCACGGCACACCCCTCCGCCCCGACCCTTTATTTCGGCACGGCACACCCTCCGCATCCCCCCACCCACCACCGCCTCCGCCCGACGCCTTTTACGCCCCCCACCCACCAGCCAGCGCGCCCCTCCGCCCCGACGCCTTTTATTTCGGCACGGCACACCCCGCGCGCCCCCTCCGCCCGACGCCTTTTTTTCGGCACGGCAGACCCCTCCGCCCCGACGCATTTATTTCGGCACGGCACCCCTCCACACCCCTCCGCATCCCCCCACCACCAGCCAGCGCGCCCTCCGC